CATCCAATACAACAGCACAGATATCGGCATAACGATTCATTATTTAAAGGAGCTGTTACCACCTTGTACCTTCAACGTCCACTTCAAATTCAACAATGAAATCTACAGGCAAACAGATGATGTGGCAATGGGCTCTCCACTAGGACCCCTCTTGACCGACCGTTTTATGGCCAGCCTCGAAAACAAATCCTTATCATCACCTATCGACGACCTCCATCTTTACAAGAGATACACTGATGACACTTTCATCATTTGTGATGAGAACCTGAACCTTGAAAACTTGCTTCAAACCTTCAACAATACCCACCAAAACATCGACTTTACTCTTGAACCGGAATCCGACGGAATGTTCCACCTCCTCGACGTCCATCTGAGAAGAAACGCCGGCATATCTCTGAAAGGTCCATATACAAAAAAGCCTACATGGCATGGACAATTCATCAGTTTTCAAAGCTTCGTGTTCCTAAGCAGAAAGAGGAACCTTATATACTCTCTTTCCTCGAGAATTCAGAAGATATACAGCGAGGAGGTGATTGATGAAGAACAGCTTTTGTCTCATAAGCTATAAACGTGGATTAGTGAGGGCTTTGTACGACAGAGCTAGGAAGCTATATTCACCAAACTAGGTCGAAGGAGAATTAGATTTCGTCGAGAAATTCCTAAGAGAAAATGGATACCCCAAGGGATTTATACAGAAGTATAGCAGAGAAAAAGATAAGAAAGAAAAACGCCCAACTGTAGAAAAGAAGAAAGTGTTGACTTGAATGGAGATGGAGTGTCGCAAAAGATTGACAAAAGACTGAGAGGTGCAATAAATAGAAGCTTCCAACAGCAAAACTCAACATTATACAGCACCACTTCTATAAGCCACTCAAAACTGGATAAATACCCTACTGATGTCACCTACAACTGCGGTTATGAATTTATGCGCACTTGAGGGAGCAAGTACATTGAAAGGACAGAAAGAAGGGCTTATATCTGGTTTTCTGAACATATTCTAAGAAACCTATGCGTTAAAGGAAGCAAATATTCTCAGAGTGCAATTACCAGACATATTGTTGATACCGGACATCTCGTAGAGATTTCCAAGTCCTTCAAAATATTAACAAGTTTAATGATGCACATTCACCAATAAACTTTACCATAGAGAAAGAAAGTAATGACAGTATCTCATTCCTAGACGTCTTCATGGTAAGGAGAGAAGATGGCACACTAAGAAGAAGTGTGTATAGGAAGCCTACAACAACAGGTTAGTACACTCATTTTTTGAGTTTTGTACCTTTGAAATATAAACGTAACCTCGTGAAGTGTCTGGCTCATAGAGCTAGGTTAATCTGTTCAGACGACTGCCTCAATGAGGAGCTTAAGATTATTAGAGAATTACTTAGAAAAAATGGCTATCCAGATAAATTCATTGAGAAAAATATAAATTCAGCTCCAAGGAGAGTCAGTATGGCCACAGTCCCGAAAAAACCAATGTTCATAAAATTGCAGTTCCTCGGTGACAACATAAGCGAATTAATAACACAGCGCCTGAAGAATGCAGTTAAAAGAACTTATTATGCAGCAGAGGTACGTTGTCTCTTTACAGCCACACCTATTTTATGTTCGAGAAATAAGGATGAACTACCTGAATTCGCCTCCTCTATGTGTTTCTACCAGTTTGACTGCAGCTGCGGAGCCAGCTACATTGGGCGTACAATTAGGCAAGTTCATCGTCGTATTTCCAAACATCATCCAACGTGGTTAAGTAAGGGACAAAAAAGATCTATTCGTAGCTCTATTTTAGCCCGCCTCATTGATAGTGAGCATAAGATTGATGTTAATACAGCATTGAAAATTATTTATCGCATTCCAACTTATCTTAATTTTGCTCTGAGAGTTCGTCTTCTACAGACGGCTGAGGCGATTGGCATTCATCTGAAGAAGCCAAGCCTACGTGTACAGAAAAATTTGTACAGCCACTTTCCCTACCGTGGCCATCGTCACAAGAATGGATAAACAGGACTGCGTCACCCCCTCCCCCTAAACCTATAAAATTATATTTGTCTAAATTATTTATTTTATTTATTTTGACCACTTTATCTTTAATTTACGTGTTATTCTTGTAAAATTAATTTATTCTATCCATTTCCACCTTTTAAATCTGTATTGATTTTCTTCGTTAACTATTAACCCATTGACACTGTTTAATTATTGTTAACAAACTTATCGCCACTTGATTGGTAAACTGTTGTATTGTAATAAAAGTGCTATATATATTAGAGTAGAGCCAAAGATGAGGATCTAATTGAAAAGTAAATATTTCTTCGCTCAATCTTTCTGTTTTCTAAATATTAAATAGACAAAGAACAGCAAATTTACTACGATTTGCTGAAGCGATCGCAATCAAACGATTTAAACCAGACTTATGCATGCAGAAAGAGAGTGTGATTAATCTCTCACTCCCTTGGTAACTGAATTTTGATTTTGATTACATCTTATTCGGTGATCTCAACTCACTGAACAAATCTTAGTCTTATAAACTGTAACCGCTTTTGTTTCGTTTTTTGAGTTGCTGTTTGAACCTACAAGCTAACACTGTTCTGTTAATTAATTTTTTCTGTTTTCTGTCTTACCCTTCCCCCTCTTTTCAACTTTGAAAGCGTATTAATTGATGATGAAAACTTAAACTAAAAATTGTAATGCTTTCATTTTGGATGCGTCAGTTTTATAGTATCTCTTCTTTACTACCATTCAAACATTAAAGTATGTTATTATCATCTATATAACGATTGTAATTTCAGCTAGTCTGCAGCTGATGAGAACCTGTGAAATAGAATGATGGCATCATTTTATACTGCAAACTTCGTCTTCCCTTTTTTGTCGAAATTTATCAAGGGAATGAAATGTATAATATTTTCTTTGCTGTTAATATCTTTGTATTATTCCCTAGAATGCATTACCCTTAAATCCATATATTTGTCACTTTGCTATACTTTACTTAACTACGTATCAGTCTTATAATCATTACTCTCCACCGCAAAATTTCCTCAGGAAATGAAAAGAACCCTAAAGTGTTCATGCGCTTATGCATCTAATGAAGGTAAACGAGTAAAATCGAGTTGCGTTCCCTAAACTGTTAGTTCTTAGAGACGTTGAGTTTGAAATCACATTTCAACCTAGAACAAGAACTGTGATCCTTTAGAAAACCACTGAAAATCACGGTGTGCTGACCTTCTGCTTCTTCCAAGTCTAGGACTCTTCGATAATACATACCCGTGACTTCACTGGGGATCAAATTCAGCACCTTCAGATTATGAGGTGAATTCACTGACCATTGAGCCATTGTAATGGATAGAATCTATTGGCCTAAAGTTTTCTTACTTCTCTCAGTTCACTACATATGTCTCTATGTACAGCCACTAGTACTTCACCGCAGGGTGAAGTTGCTCGGAGACCAAGCGGAAGGCTGCGACCACTAAATAAGATGGGAAAACAACTCAACGGGGACATACGTTGGCTGTGGAGCTATATATCGATAACTGAGGAGAGAAGATTCTCTCCGACAACTTTTTTATATGCGTCGGTGGTACAGCGGTAGAATACTCGCCAGCCATGCAGGTGGCCTGGGGTTCGATCCCCTGCCGACATACTTCTTTACCTCGCTAGGCCAGTAATAAGACTTGTACAGAAGGAAGGTTAGGCATAAGGCTAGCAACCCCATCTCGTAAGAATGAAAATCACTGCTACAGAAACTTCAAGCATCTAGCTTGAAGCCCTAAGTTCCACTGGGAACGTAGAGGAATAAAAATATTTTTTTCTAAAAGTCTGAATGAATATTTTCGCTATGTCAAGAAATGACAGAAGTTAGAATTTAAAGACCGTCTGCCTGACTTCCATTGGCTGAAAATTCAATAATAAATAATAGGATCGCCCAGTAACTTCATAGTCATGGATTCCTCCTGTCTAAGGTTGTTGTGTGTATGTTCTACGGAAGAGTTTCAGACTGGGACTAAACAGCATCGCAATGACCCTTGATTTTCAGTGGTTCTCCAAGTGGAGTCATTTTGTGAACGAAATTTAAACTAATCGAGCCCCTAAAAACCAGCAATTGAAAATATATATTTCTGGAATGATTGGAGGTGTGTGCTAACATATAGTCTGATAAAGAGAATCAGACCGTACAGGGTCTTATTTGTGGAACACAGTCATGAGGTATAGTACAACTTCATCTTTCCTCATATCAATCTCTATTTTCCAACAATGAAAATAATAATTTATTACACTTGACTTTTATTAGGCAATAGAATATTTAACCAGCTTGACGATTTATCAAGAATCAGACTGACCTTTTCCTTGTCGGCTTTCAAATCACCACAGGTTTTCTGGATTTTCAACCACATAGAATTATCGAAGCGAGTTCAATCACTTTTCTCTTTCCAAATGGACCAGTTCTAAGGAAACTAAGTTACTCATGGCGATTGGGCAATGCATGCTGAACATTTTCAAATAGACAATCAACGCATCGAGTAACAGCTTCTAGAGGCTTCATAACACTATGGAAGCATATTGTCCATGTCTATAAAATCAATTTAAAAATTATCCTTTGATTAATATCAATGAAGCTGAATGGAAGGGTAGGAATCTGGTATCTTCGACGGCGTTGTATATTGTCTTGTTTTTTTTATTTGAATCAGAAGACATCTTAACTGAGATCTGTCCTTCTTTGGTGGATTTTTACGGTAACATGTACACTGTAAAACAAAGAAAGAAAATTATTGGTTAGAGGATTTCATCATGAGCTGACATTGGTTAGAGAACCATTGGAAAATCAGCCGGGAGTACTGGACAGCTGTTTCGCCCTAGTTTGGGAATGTTAAGCAGTACGCACCTGGGTTCGAACCCCAGTGGGTTTAGTCAGCCATATCTCTACAAACCAACACTGAAAATTATCATTATTAATTAGCTAAAGTCATACGCTGTCAAGGTTATACGCGGTGGTCACATGACACACAGAAAGCCTATCAATCGATCAATAAATTATTCATATTGCGGATAAACGTGTATAGCATAAATTAGACAAAACTACTCACCAACAATTATCCAGAAATGGCAGCTAATAAAGGGTTTGTTTAAATTAGTACAATTATTTTCTTCACTTTCTAGCAATACACCACAACAAAATGTTCATGAAGAACAATTATTACAACAAATTGATAAATTACAATTGATCAGTAAACTGATTGCATTTCGTTTATCAAAATCAGAAGAATTTAATAAGAAAACTGATGCAGCATTAAAAAAAGCTCAACAATCGAAAGGACAATTAAAACAACAAACTAATGAACTTGTTGATGATATGGAAAGTGTTGTCTTATCAATTGTTACATCGTTAAAATCATTTCAATCAGAGGCTAGAGCAACATTATATAGTTATCAATCACAATTACAAAATTCACAAAAACAATTACATGAAGCTAAAACTACAATACGTCAGTTGAATGAAAAAATTGAACACTTAGAAACATTATTATTAGAAAATAAACGTTTATTTGAAGTAAATTTACAAGCTATACATATTACATATGTAAATATAATGGAGCATATATTTGAAAAGTTACAAGAATTAATTTTAAATGATTTAAATTTATTAGAACAAAAAAATGATGATATTCATAAAGAATATAAAAGTGCCTTCAAATTATTAGGCTTACAGTGTACATTTCATGATATTTAATCTAACAAGTATTCGTCTGCCTCTAATATACAATAAATACACTATTGAAACATTGAATCATTTAAAAGATAAGTTGATTTAAACAAATGTGATATGAAACTATAAAAAAGTGATGATATGACTTCTAGCATAAAGAGGTCTTAACTGTATGAAAAAAAGAAGTAATAAAGCAGTATCCAGTTTATATTTTGTTATATATTTTCCTTTGGGTTCCTTCTTAATGGAACATAAGGCTTCAGTAATACATCTTTATTGTATTTTGTCATCTGACTTCTTTTTCCTGACTCTATAAGTAACTGCGATCTCTCACATCCTCCTTATTTGATATCCTCTATGTAAATTTCAGAAACCAAATTCATCAGTTTCTTTTCAGATGCCATAAGAAGGATTGGCGTGTAGTGTCACTCAGCGGTCTCCTCAGTGTGCATTCAATCCATCTCCATAACTATATCAATACTTGTTAGACAAAAGCGTTCTTTGTTGGTCAGAAACATAACAGAGCACTTTGTTGCATACCTCCTTCAAGCTGGCATTCTGAACTCCAGCATAGATAGAAAGTAGCCGCTACTGAAGGTCTGCAACCTAAAGGAAAAACATACTGGAGTATATAGGGAACAAAATTTGATTTTCCACGATTCATTTTCATGAGCTGAGATTTTGTAAATTCCGGTTTAATAATACTTTGAGAAAGCTATTAGCATTAAATAGCGAAACGTCAGTAAAAACAATCTCGTTTTGTTTTTTCATTCATTGGGAAATACAAAAAACCTCTATTATAATGAATATCATATACCCAATGCCCAAATTTTTTCAAACCGTTAAAAGTGAACTTGGTTTGGATATATATAAGCTATTCAACCGTATTTATATTTAATAAAGAAATCGTTAGAACAACCAGCTACTGAAGAATATTGTCCTCGGGAAATATATTAGGCAATTAAGGCGGGATGAGTAACTGTAAGTGAGAAAAGAGACAGAAGTAGGCATGACGTAATAAGTGTGAGATAATGACTCAGCAATCAGCTCGTGTAGAATGGACAGGAACTAGTGGAACGAAGATAAGGTGTTTTTATATAAAATCTGTATGAAAAGCAATGTTACCATTAGACAGTATATATATATATATATATATATATATATATATATATATATATATATATATATATATATATATATATATATATATATATATATATACAGCGATATGGCTGAAGCGTTAGCCATTCGGGATCTAAATGTCGGACCTCTGCATTCAAAAGCACTACACACATTCACTCGCTCTACCGTCACCAGAGTAAAGTTCTTACTATAAGTTTGCTTCTTCTATTATATTACGTAAGTTTAATGTTATTATTCTTGTAATTATTATTATTATTTTATTATCATTATTATTCCCATCATGCATATTTTATTACCACTGTATTACTGTCTAATAATAACATTGCTTCTTCATACAGTTTTTATATAGAATGACTTTATTCCCAATCCACCGGTTCCCGTCCATTCTACACGGGCTTATTGCTCAGTCATTATCTCACACTTATTATGTCATGCCTACTTCTGTCTCTTTTCTCACTTACAGTTAGTCATCCCTTCTCACACCTTACATTATGGAATGCAATTTTTCAAGGACAAGGTTTACCAGTATCTGATTGGTCTAAAGATTTCTTTGTTAATTATAATTACGATTGTACAGCTCATGAAAATAATTCATCGAAAAAGAAAATTTTCTTCGCTGTTTGTGCCTTTTTCCTCTGACTCAATATGCCTATATTTCATTCTATTGGAAATTGTTTTACTGCCTCCCATTATCTAGAGGTAAGAAGCAATCACTTCATATTAGTTTTAAAGATGCAAATTTTTTTTGCAGTTGCTGAATGCAGTTGATTTCGACACTGTCTTGCTTTTCAGATCCTTCAATACCCCCGATGCATGCTGCCCGTATTTGTAACCGTGCTATCCAGTTTAGTGAAACAGACACTTTCTCCTGTTAGGGATGTTTTAACTAATGATCGATGGCAAATTTCATCTTTGACATGTAAGACTCAGTCAACAAATTAGTGACACAAGCACGTACAAGTTGACTCACCAGATGGTTTACTACTACGTATATCATTGAAGGATTAATGGTGCTTTCTAGATTTCCGGACTTTCCCAAACTGACTGAGATGAATAAAGTATTGGTTGAAATTCTAGCACGAAAACTAACCATACATCATATTGAGCTGTTGTGATGAACAAATACTGTTACATGTACAAGTTTAAAATGGAGACCGACTCTAATGAAGTTTGACAGCCATTATCCTGCTGATTACTTGAAGAGGGACCTAAGTATAAATCTTTACAAATATTACTGACTAAAGTTATTAGGTCTGCACAGTAATGAATGAAGTGATTGTGTGTGATATCTACTAATCATGTAGAACTCCTAAAAACTCACTTTTATTGAATTAAGCTCTGAAAATGTCGTCGTTTAGAAGGATAGTGGAAACTCCCCAAAAGAATCATCTGATTGGTTTCAAAGTACGTAAGAAGAGTTTACAATTTATTAATTTGGGTGAAATTAATATATGTGTAAAACTTGGGCACTGTGGCAGTAAATAATTCCATATTAGTTCGTTTATTAGATGTATCACACAGTGAAACAGTATTATTTACTGGATGACACAATTTCGAACAAAATTTATTGTTCATAATCTTATCAACAGTAACCACACGACTTCGAAACTTGATTTTTATAGTTTCCTTTGTCCTTTCCTATTTGTCGTGGTTGGGGTAGTAGAATTTTCCAGATATCTGGGACAGGTGTTGAATCATTCCTATTACACGTATTTGCAGTTGATTCGATAAACAAAGCTTCTGTTATCAATCTCTCCTTATACCCTGTGACATTAGATTTTAAAACTGTCATCCTATCGCATCCTATTGCATGGTTGTGTAACTGCATGTAATGCTATGGGCGAACTATTCTCTAGATTTCTTATCTAGATTTAGCTAGGTTTTTATGTTCGGCTAGTCTGACTGTCCCTGTTCTACTAGTTTGACCCATGTATTTGACCTGACAATCATTGCAGGGTATTAGATAAGCTAAATTCTTTTGTTTTAAAGGCTCCACAAATTTCATCCTTTAACCGACAAAGCTTGTTTCTAATTGAGTTTGTGGTTGGTTTGAATGCCACTTTTATTCTTGCCTTGTTAAGAATTCCGCGTAAGGCTTCCGAGGTTCCTTCTTTGTATGGAATTACTACTGATGATTTAGATTCCTTATTGTTGGTGTCGTCATTAATATTAATACCATTATTATTATTATCATTATTATTGTTATCATTATTATTATTGTCATTATCGCTCCTATCATTATTTATTTTATTTTACATTTCCTTACATATTTCCTGACTAATTTATCAGGGTAATTAATAAGTTTCAAGGCTTCTTTTATGTGTATGACTTCTTGCCTTAGATTTTCCTTAGTTTTTGTGCTCTGTCACTTAAACATTTCACCAATCCTATTTTAACTGACATAGGATGGGATGATCGGAAGTCCAAATATGTTAGAATGTGTGGGTTTTCTGTAAACACTAGTGTTTAACTTCCTATCTTCTCTCCTTTTTACGCAGCAATCTAGCATTGGACGCTTCCCTTCCCGGTTTTCCAATTCATAAGTGATAGAATTGACTCCAACTTTGAGTTAATGTGTTCGAAAATCTATCTATATCTTGTGTTCTAAGTACAGTGAATGTGTGATCTACGTACCTCCACCAAAAGTGTATATCATCAAACAGAGCATAGATCAGTCAAACGTCTACTTTTAAAACGCGCGCGGGAACACTATCCAGCATGACTAGCAAAGGGAAAATCCAAAGAGGTATATACTTCGATAACAGAACATTTGATGAATTCTGGACACCAAGCCTCACATGAAAAGTCCTTCAAAGCCATATATAAGATCCGATACAACCTACCAAAGGGAGTGAAATCAAGACATATAGGAATAGCTAATGCACTGGCGATCCAAAAACTCAAGTCTATTCTGTGTTTAAAAGAAAAACGTCCAACCGTTCTCCCTACAGTGGCCATTATGAAAAGTCAGTCTCACCAATAATAATAATTATCTTATTACCTTTCTTGTCCAGCCTTCTCGTTTATTTGTTATATTTACCTTTTAAATCCCTATTTGCATTATTAGATCTGGTTATTGTTTTCATTTTCATATGTCCGAACCTCCTACCCATTTAGTTAGTACTACATCCTTAACCCGTAATTATACAAACAGACTAGTTTTGTAGTAAGTATAATCCTATTTTGCCTTTTCTACCCGATCTTCTTGATTATTACACAGTGTAATTTTTAATTTGATCTTTGGCCAGAAATATTTCTAGAATAAAGCCACTACCTATCCATCTTCTGTTTATTGCACTTAGTAATTTTATTGATCTGACCTCTGACCGGATATAATTCTGGAACTTTCTTACACATGTTATATAAATACACGAATGTAGAACCTAGTTGATGACTTCGTCGAAAAAAATTCTTCACTTCAAGCACAGCGAAGAAGACGCCTGTGAAGTGAATACAGGAGTAGGACAAAGCTGAATACTATCACTGATGATATTCGTCACTATGATGAAGTGAATCATACGACAGGCCATGGAGATCGGGAAAACAGACACACATTGAGCTGACAAGAAGACTCTAGAAAATCCAGACTTCACAGATGACTTATTTCTAATGTCACACAGACTCGGAAATCTACAGACGAAAACCAACAAGTTGGTAGAAGAATCTAAAAGCGAAGATGAGACTTCAAGTGAACACAGAGAGGACACAGATGATGAAGACACCTGACCAATAACCACATGAGGAAGAAATCCCAAGGAAGCCACCTCTTTCAATTCATCTCAACTGCAAGCGGCACAGTTGATGTCAAAGACGGGATCGGAAAGGCGAAATAGACCTTCATTAATCCGAAATTAATGTGGGAATCTACTACTCTTGACATCAGATACAAGATTCGAATTAACGACAGTAATATCAAAGCAGTTCTTCTACATGGTTCAGAGCACTGAAGTACGCATCACCGATAATATTTCCAACAGACTTTCGTCCACAGCTACCTCCACACCGTACTGAAAGTCAGATGGCCAGCTAGAAGGGATAAGGAACAAAGAACTCTGACTATAAACCAACCAACAGCCTATCACCCTGCATATGCACCGAAGAGGATGGGGATGGATTAGGCACACGATAACGAGATCGTCGAACAACATCATACCCTCAAATAGAGCCCGAATAGAAGACGGTCGACGAGTTGCGCATCCGGGAGTTATATGGAGGACACCATATGAGGAGGAAATAAGACCATTACGGGCACTGATGGAACCAATCACAAAAAAGACGACAGAGAACAGAGTCAAATGGTAAGGTGCTACTGAAGACCTATCTGTTACCTCCTGGAACCCAAAGGAATATAATGAGTCGCTGACGAGAAAGTCACCCTTCGTTGGATATGTTGTGCTTTTTTTTAAAAACAATGTGGTGTTTTATTAACCTACTAAACAACGACATTTTTCTTATCATCATCAAGCAACTCAAAGCGGGAGGTTACCCAGAAAAGAAAAACTACAAAAACACGTACATCACCTAGATCAATTTATTTCCCACGATTGAAAAATATAAAAATTACGATAATTTTATTTAAAAAAAAAGATAATATAAGTAAAAAGCCTAAATTTATGATTATAGATTGCAAGGAATGCATGTGTGTAGGGAGAAAGAGAGCGTAAGGAGATTAGACGATACAATTGGAAGAGATAGGGAAAAGGCGACCAATGACTCCACTTTTGTCTATACTTAAAAACGATTAATTGATAAATTCACCGATTTGAGTGTATTCGTGCGTGTATGTACGTGAAATGCATTGAATAGATATAGTCAAATGTGTTTTTGACATCAACATCAAAACTCATGTCTTCCACTAGTCTTCATCTGTCTATATCTATTTAAAGTGAGAAAAATGCTTTTTCTTGATCGTATCAGAGTAATCACAATATCTAATAGCAACAGCACTTTTGCCAGTATCATCAGTGTCGCTATCACATGAGTCGTCATCGTCTTCTTCGCCATCATCGTCGTCCTCCTCTTCCTCCTCCTCCTCATCATCATCATCGACATCTTCGAATACTTCACCTTCCTCTTTCTCATCACCACTTTCCTCACTGGAGTCATCTTCTTCTACATCATTGTACAGTTCCAAGTTGTTTTCGTTGAAGTCAATGATATTATTAGGCGGTGAGTGTAAATTATCAACCGTTGAAGTCGATAATTGTGGCAATATACACATCGGTGATGATGGTTTTGAAAGTGGGGATAAAGACGAGTTGACATCTGGTTGAACCTGTTCACTTTCTATTTGACTGATCATATTCTCATCGTCACTTATAGATTCTATAAAATTGAGATTACTTTGTTGTATACTATCACAAGATGTAAGTGATATTGTTTCATCACTCTGAATTCTTTGAATATATCGATGTTTAGCAATATTATTGTGGAATAACTCATCATTATCATCATCACCATTATCTTCTGAATCAACATAGTCTGACAGTGAATTCTGAATTTCACCATCATTCTGGTTATTAACATTGTTAACAGTACTAGAATCAGTACTGCGTATATTAATACTACGTGTGTCAACAGTACTTCCTTCATTATTATTATTATTACTAATACTACTATTGTCGCTATCAGTAGTAGTAGTTAAGGAAGTAGTGATGCTTGATATTGTTTCTGTTGTCATTGTTGTTGTTGTTGTTGCCGTTGTCTTATTCTTATCTGGTATGAAATAATCCACTAATTGTTCATCCCAATTTTGCACTTGATTCAATATCTTATTAATATACGGTTGTTTATACCGTCTGGATATAACAGAACGTTGAAAATCCAATTGACGAAATGTATCTAATAATAATAACAACAACAAAAATGAGTGGAGTGAAAAAAGAAAAGGAAATTCATTTCATCAACAAAACAAAATGAAGCATAGAATGTTGAAGTATTTTTTACTCACTTAAATAACTTCTTTTATGCCAAAGTACTATACATTTATTTCTTTCTAGTTTGGAACGCATCCGCACCAGTGGTCGAGCTAGGAACCCTTCCAGTTACAAGGAAAGCTTGTTGACCATTCAGTCATTGGGACTTTAAACTCAATGGGCCATGAATTTTGACTGCTACCGACTCATGATTTTAAAGCGACCATCAAGCAAGCCAACGTCTTCAGTGAGTGTTTATCCTAACACCCAAATTGGTGCACCCTGCTGGTCACTACGCCTTATTAGAACTGAAGGATAACTTCAACCTGCAGCAGCAAGTCACTAGGCAAGCGTACTGGGTACTAGTAGGAAACAATTGTCCGGTACTCTAGTGCTGGTTTTTAAGGATTCTCTAAGTGTTATCGATCTGTGATCAAAATTGAAACAAATCAACTCCTTACGAACTAACTCTTGAATTATATGATCTCAAATTCTCTGAAGTCCACTAACCGCACATATGGTCTAAGTTTGACTTCCCAATGACGCACGGTTCACCCTCACCTAGCATATAGAAGGCCTGGTAATGAGAGAAGGTTGGGTGTAAAGTTAACAGCCTTACCTTGTAAAAGCAATACAATCGCTACTGAAAACTTTAAGACTCAAGCTCGGAGTCCAATGTTCCAATTGGAACGCAAAAGAATGAAAACAATGGCATAAAGAGGTGAATAAAAGAGAAGTACATTGAACAGAAACTTTTTCGAAATGTTAATCAAGCTAGATTTTATCACAAAACAACAACAATTAGAGAACGTCAAGTATGATCATGGATTGATACCAGCTGGAGAACCACTGAAGTAATACACAGTTGTTTTAGAACTTCCGGGCAAGGTCGTGGGTGTATATTACTGAAGTGCCTCAGACGAGGACAAACCAGCCATCCAACACTCCCTGGATTCTAGAAGTTCTCTAACTGACATCAATCCATAATCAAACTAGAAACCAATCAAATTCCAGCAAACTAATACTTGAAAAGTCAGAGAACCGTTCAAAACCAGGTTGTATTGGGCAACTTTTTCATCCTAATCTCAAAATCTTAAGCAATACACGAACTCATCAGGACATTCAGCTTAGGAAGAGAACACGTTAACACTTAACCATCCGATTGGAGCTCTTGAATTCCAGCTCCAAATCAGTGATTAATGACTATTAGTGTTCGAATACAAAGTCATAACCAGTGAAATTTCCCCCCAAAAATTCGTTGCAGTCTACTTTTACGTTCCAAAAGGATTAGATCATGTTGGTCTATAACACTCCTTTAACACGTGACAGTAGAACTTGAAATATTCAATTTATTCATAAATTAAACATCCTTATCTGTGCACTGGAAGTAATTAGTAATCTTAATTGGTGGATGGTGGCTAGCAGTGGAATCCAGTGGATTCCACTGCTAGCCACCATCCACCAATTGTATACAAATCAAATCCCCAGACATCGTCGAAGCATCTGCACAAGAAGCCGACATGTCAACCTGAGACCGAGCACTTCGGTCCAATCAATCGACGGGAAAATCAAAAATTCAATTCAATCTGCACAAGAAGCCTATATGTCATCCTGAAATCGAGCACTTCGGTCCAATCAATCGACGGGAAAATCAAAAATTCAATTCAATCTGCACAAGAAGCCTATATGTCATCCTGAAATCGAGCACTACGGTCCAACCAATCGATGGGAAAATCAAAGATTCAATCAGACATTTGGAATACAAATACAGTGAGATGATATCATATTCAATGAAATCAGAATTCAAATGAAACAATAAATTGTGTTTTCTAGACATGAACTGGTCTATTTCAAACGTAGACATTGATAGCCACAAATTTTCAGTGGATTCCACTGGTCACCACTCCACATGAGAACTTTTCTGCTCGTTTGTGAAGTACTACTAGATGAAATATTTGAACTTTTAATGAGAATTAGTAATCTGTGGTGTCGAATGAATCGGGCGTGGGAAGAGATACTTTGCGCAGCGTTCAAATCGCATCGTGAATCAACAGAAATTAGAATTTATGAGCCATTAGTTTCCAATCCAGTGGATGAATGGTAGTTCGTTCTCCTTTAAAGTTCACCCGAGAAATTCACGATGTTGATTCCAACTTATGAGTTGAGCACTAAAACCATCAATTGACTACTGAAAAGGAGATTATATTTTTTTATCTCGTGGAGTAATGTCCTTGTGTCTAGTTATCTCATATGTCTTCAACACTTTTTAAATATTATCCTAATTATGTAGGATGTCTTCTTCGTTAACAAAAAATAGGTAACATAAAATAAATCTAGACTGATACAGTGGACCTCTAACCTTTAACCATAATTCTAACCCTAATACTAATTACTAACTCCAATGTGCTAACAGCCCATTGTCCAAACAGTACTTCGAAACAAGGTCAGAATGAAATTTAAACCTCAATACGTGCACAGAGTTACAATAACGACAGGTTCTGTAATCCAATGAATGATATGTACCCAGGGTCATTGGTGCATTCGCTATTCTTTAGGCTGGTCGTAGATACAATGATAAATGCTTGGTTTGTTCAATAATCTCTACAGAGAAAGATGAAATAGCATTGACAGATTCAAGGTCATTCTTGCGTCGACGGGCTCCTCTTCTTCTGTTCATATGTTTAGCTTTCAAATTAAGAATTATTTGACATCTGGCGCAGAGGGATCTATTTAAATTGATTTACTTATAGGAAAAGTGTAATACATCCACACAATCTAGCAATAGATATCAGCGAATGGGAATCGAGTGGGCAAAACTGGCGTTAGGACAAACGAGATCTGCCTGTAGTCACTTTTTGCCACCTGTATTATAATAACAACGGAAGTTGCTTGAATACTCATCGAAACATTTTTATCTGAATTCACAATAAACATGTAGATTAGAATAACTCTGAAAAAGAATTAATAACAACTAAGAGACTACAGACTTAACAAAATATCCTTCCACTTCAAGGTATACAACTTACCTTGATGTAATTCTAAGGCTTTTTTAGCTGCTTCCATTTGTGCTTGTTGTACAGATCTGCCTTGACCAGTTGCTAATCGTTGACCACGAAAATAAACACCAACACGATAAACACGTTGATTAGTTGGACCACTATGTTCTAAAACCTAAAGGAATATGTGAGTTGTGAATATTATTACGTAAAATATGTATTGGTTTCATTGCATCAGTGTAGTCCAACTGAACGTCACTTCACACTACTGAAGCTGTCGCCAATGGAAGAAATAAACTTCAATTATGCTCCCAAAAGAGCAATAACAACATCTTAGACACAATAGTGGATTCAGTTCACATCTTCATAAGTGAGCAAAGAATATCCTTTTCGATAATTTCCTCTTCTGACTCTACAATTGCATATATGTTTATATACACAGAATATTCTAGAATAGTAGTCAATAACAATATTAGCGTTTTTTAAATAATATCGATTTGTAAAGTAAGATGAATGGAATTTCGGATCATCAAAGATGCTTAAATAATAATAATAATAATAATAAAGATATAGTAGCAAATAGAATATCAGCTAAAATTAGGAAAATGCCACAAAAGTTCAGGATCATTCAAACCTAAATGGCCAAGGTAAGGATAATGTTTGAACTAACTTCTTTCGGACGGACAAATAAGGCTTCTTAATATGGATCCCAACAGCCCCAGCAATATTTAGTAGTCGAACTCTTAAGGCAAAATTAAGATTTGTTGGTATGCGGTAAATGACCCTGAAAGCATGGTTAACATTAATCTTGTGTTCTGTATCCACAAGATGAGACAGAATAGCGCTACGAATAGATTTTGTTTGTCCTTTACTCAACCACACAGAGTGATGTTCGGAAATTCGACGAGAAACACGCCTAATTGTACGGCCTATGTAACTGGCTCCACAAAAGCAGTTAAATTAGTGGATACACATGGAAGAGGCGAAATTAGGCAGTAGGATTCGAACTCATGACTGCTTGAATGAAAGTCATATTTTTATATCATTGAATTACATGAAACTATATAATGTTAAAAGGTAAGTGCCTTAATGTTTAAGAAATACAATACTTGATCCCATGGGGTAAAGTGTATAGGCATTGTAGGCAAGACATTGCTTAAACACGCTCATGAACACTTGTCAGCATGGTTGTCGAAAAGGAAATACCGAACTACTAATGTAACAACAGAAGACAAGGGCCAGGCAACAGATCGTTTTATTACGGAAATCAACACGTATTTATATATATTACACATACATTATTATAGCTTATGCAAGTAGACAAACGCAGTCTTCTGATTGGTTGTTTATCAGAAGTTAAGCAGACAAACGCGGGCTTCTGATTGATTGTTTCGAGTAACCATCGAAAAGTGGAGCCATCTATCTGTGAATCATATTTGCCCACGTTAAGTCTGCTGTGATTGGTTGTTGAATCAGCCTTGTACATATTTTCTCACGGCCTGCTTTCACCAAACTAATAAATTCATTCTGAAGCATATTATTACATCTGGTGACGCAACATCAGCAAAGACTTCATTCAAAGTCAGATATAAAGTAAGACGAAGCGAAGCTATGAAAAGGGATTTTGTCGCTTATTTATTTACGCCTTCTTAGAAAACGTAACAACAAACATTCTATGTAGAGTTTATCATAGTACTCTCGATAAGATATTAAACTGGTTTTAAAGAAAACAACTCTTTAGGAAAATGAATAGAATATTTGAAAGAAATAAAAACACACAGGAGTCTAGAGTCCAAAATAAAAGACTCAACAAATGTTAACAAGTTACTAATTCAGCAACCTATTAAAAATATGTTAGAGGATAATTGGGTGACAACAAGTGGAATAAGTAATGCAACTGTGACACAATTCAACTGACTGACTGGCTTCAACATAGAACTTTGCACCGACGTGCAGCAGTTCGAGTCGCTACACTCCAAGTAGCACACAAAGCAAGGGTGGAAAGTAAAAATAAATGCAAAATAGGACAGTAAACAGAGATATGAGACAAAAAGAATAATAATAACGAAGAACAATATAGTTTCACTGGAAATCATAAATCACAAGGAGTGGATGCATCTGCACCAGCCATTGAGAACGATTTTGAGCCATATCCGCGATTATTTCCAACCATTGGTTTTTACCGTACCGAGGACCACAACCAGTCAGGAAGTCTACACCTTCCTACGTGACTGGCTTAAACTAACTGTTGTGGATTTCATTCACTGACGAGGCCATGTTTTTGTTTGACCTCCGCTAGCTCTTTTCCAGCCTGACCCTATTTCAGCTAACATTTCCTGTCGGTCGAGGAAGGCGATGACTAGGCATACGTAACACACGTCCTAACCATCTCAATCGATGTAACTTCACAGCCTCATTTATTGATTTCCCCTCCTAACCTCAATATTGCTCACCCTAGTACACCAATTCACACGGGAGATAGAACGAAAACATCTGTTTTCAAAGACAGCTAGCCGACCTTTTCAAGTCTTCCACTTTCAATGGCCAGGTCTAACAGCCATAAAGGAGGACGGAGCAGACGGCTGAGCAGAACACAAACCTTTTAGTCGATAGCCGGACATCACATCTACACCAGAGAAAGCGTAAACTGACTTATACGAAACCAGTCTTCTGTATCCGTGCTGAGATTTCGTCAGAGATCAACCCGTTGGCGTTGGCTGATGGTACTTCCCAAATAAGTGAAGCGGTCAACGTGCTCCACTACTTCACTCCCTATTTCTAAGCTAGGAATCGATGTAGTCCAGTCCATTCCTGTAGTATCATCTTATATTTGACAGAAGCGAATCGCATGGCAAACATTCGCAGTTTACAGCTCAGGGTGTTCAGAAGACTCTGCTCTATTTTATCACCGTCTTCACATAAAAGGATTATATCATCCACATATATATTCTAAGTCAATGACATTATTCCATGGTAGCAAGTCAGTCCCTGAGTCTCTGAAGTGTGTTAGGGTTAATTCCATTAGTACATCTATGATGAAATTCAACAGAAATGGGGACAGTAGGCATCTCTGTCGGAAACCACTAGTTATCACCTGTTCAGGATGACAACATACTTTATGAAAGCAGTTGACAACACCCACTCGAACACATTACGCCTTCGTCTTCAGGTAAACAACAATAAATGGGTCAGTCAACATATTTGTTTTGTCTATATTTAGTCATGTTTACACTTATAATTACAAACCAGATGGCTAGAAAAGATAAGCAGACAGACAAGAAACTCTGACAACGAACAAGCCAACAACCAATTATCCAACAGATACACAGAAACAAATGAAGATAAACTGGACCCACACTGAGTATGCCGTAGAGTGGCAATCACATGCCAGACCCTCAAGTTGAACCTTAAATGGGATACAGATAGTTGGGAGTCTGGAAGTGAAATGCAGGAGACCATGTAAGAAGGAAATGAGGGCCTATAAGCAATAATAGCGTCAGATAAAAAAGAATACACAGAACATAGTGAAATTGAGATGCACTGCTGAAGTCCTATGTCCCAAAGCTGAACACAAGGGAATAATGATAACAGAACACTTATCACTAAATGTAAAAAATTAAACACAAACAAATAAGTTAACTAACTTTATAATGTGCAATTTCAGGATCTTCATTCAATGAACGAAAAGTAAGACAACACTGTTGTAACTTTGACTTTGCATCATTCCATTCTTGTTTTAAAATAAACTCTACAAGACGTGGCCAAAAACAGATTTGACAGAAACGTTCAACCCAGGTTAAATCTTTATCGACAAATAATGCACCGATAAATGCTATACACATTGGAATGCAGAAAAAACAAAGAGAACAGACGGATTAATGAGAAATCAATACACATGAAGTACAATATTGTATAGTATTCATATTATTTTAGCAATAAGACTAATTTAAGAATTAATTGTTATGATGAATGAATAGTAAATTCACACAGAAATCAAAATTTTCTCTTTTTTTAATTTATACGATAGTTTGGTATGTAATTCATATATGTAAACAAATTCGATTACGACCAGACTTCATTTAGAGTTCCAGGGAGTCTTGCCCTAGTTTAGGACCCTTCAGTAGTACGCCACCGTGGTCCCCCGTTAGGAACTTAAACAAAGACATTCAGGATACAAGGCGAACTAGTTGTCCATTAAACTACTGGAATGGAATGCAATGATCTATGAATTCTAACTTCTGCTGATTCACGATATGCAGTGCGACTGTCAGGCAATACCTGTCTGTCTGTCTGGATTCAACATAGAACTTGGCACCGAAGTGCACCAGTTCGAGTTGCCACGTTCCAAATAGCACACAAAGGTAGACAAGAAGATGAGTGAAGAGAATCAATAGAGTTTGACAAATATAAGAGCGAAACAGAATGCGTAATGGCAGAAAGAAATATGAAAGATTACAGAGACTGAATACATCTGCGCTGGCCATTGACAACGATTTTCAGCCATGTCACCTATTGTCTCCACCCATTGATTCCTAGAGTCCCGACGGCCCCAACCAGGAAGTCTGAATCGCCCTACCTGACGACTCAGTTTAACTGTCAAGGATTTCATGGATTGATGAGGCCATGTTTTTGTTTGGCCACCACTTACTCTTTTCCAACCTCCACCTATCTATATCAGCTAGTAATGCCCGTCGTCGGGGAAGGCGATGGTTAGGCATGCGCACCACCTGACCTAGCCATCTCAATCTATGTAACTTTATAGCCTCGTCGATTGATTTTCCCTCTTTGCCCAACACTCTACGTCTAACGTCAACATTACTTACCTTATTAAACCACCTAACGTGAGAAAGAGATCGTAGACATCTATGATCGAAAGCAGTCAACCTTTTCATGTCTTCAATACCAATACCATTGGTACGTATCTTTCCTAAGGCCCAGTTTAGTGGACCCCAGCGGTCATAACTTCTCAACAAAACTTCAAGCGACCGACCACTTCGTTTTCAATAGTTCTCTAACCGAAGTCAATTCATGATCAAACGTGAAATTAGCTGAATCTCTGCAAATCAACAATTGAAAACTAATCCATATATTTATTTACTTCTTTCCCTTCTTATTTTTTTCTTTCTTTCGAAATTATGACTTTAAAACATGCTTTATAAATATTCTGAATCTCTCTGTCTCCCGAATAATATTCATGCTTCCAAGCGCTTATAATTTTTAATAGTAATACTTTTTTTGAGCGATATTCACACCACTATTCAATGTCCTCAGATTACGAAATTTAATATTTACTACTTCTCTTGACATGTAATTCCATATGTTTTGTTTTCTACTGATATGAAGAACTGATCTACATGAGTATTTCCTGACATTTTAAAACACTATACTCTACAGCTTTGAAGCGAAGTCACGAAGTTACTTGACTCTGGGAGAATCCAGTCTGTACTACACTGAGGTGCATGGAATTGGTTACCAATCAAAATGTCGATTACAGTCGATTACAAGAAGTCAGTCGCGAGCCTGAATAGTTCAATAGTAAAATCTCTGACTACAGTACTGGATGATGCGGATTCGAATCTCAGAGGAGTAGTGAAACCCTTTAAGATCGTAGATACGCCTTGCTGACTAGTGAATGTCAACAAACCTAACCGTGGTTGAATGGTCAGCAGGTATTTTTTGGTAGATGATGACTAGTAATGGAGTCGAAGGTGTGCGGTTCATTCCATCTGAGACTCGAATCCATTAGTCATCGTTTCAAATGTCAAAGTGTTATCTCTTAGACCACTTGAGCCACGAGAGACACATATTGTGCAATGGATATCACTCATCAATTGTCCAAATCAATTTGGATTTCCCTGTTGGTTGATTCGACCGATATGGCATATCCAAAGCGTGCGTACTAAAGGCGGAGAGGTTTACAGAGACTGAACGTTTCGGTCTAATAAACTCACTTGAAAAAAAAAACACTGACTTCAACAAAATGTGATATATCTCTCGAAAAAATATTGGTAGGAATATATCAACCAAGATTAGCTGTAAAATTCTTGTTTTAAACCTAATGGAACAATCCGTTAATCAATAGGGAATCTTATTCTCTAATTACATCATCTTTCAGGTCAGAGAGATATTTTCCCCACATTAGATTAAAGGGCAATTGAAGTAGAAGATAACGGGAATTTGTAGCTTATTATCATTAAACCCTAATGCCTTTCTATACTACCATTCTTTCTCCCTCAAATTTACGCTATATTATAGTACTTTTGTATCCCCCTTTTATTCTCTTTTGTCTACCTTTGCGTGCTACACGGAATGTGGTAAGTTGAAAGAACTGCTGCATTTCTATGCTGACACTCACTCAGTCATACGTGGTTTTCACAGCACTGTTTGTATACGGTGGAATTATAAGGATGAGCAGGGCTATGAAGCACATGGTGCTGCAAAAGCGAAATATCTGGAAATAGGATGCTTGAAATAACATATGAATTGATAACATGTTTGAGTGTTGGGATCAACCATTTGAAAAAGATGAAGGTTGAATGAAAACGCTACTTACGACTAATTAGAAGTAAGAGACTGAATTGTGCGGAAAAGGTCTCAAAACTACACCATCTATATCCTTTCCTAAACACCTTGAAAATACTGAATCTTCACGAACTTTAATTATTAAAGTTACTTCTATTCTCTAAGAGTAATAATAATGTTAGCCTAATGTTCTGAAATGTAGCAAGTCGAGTAGTTCACTTCTGTTGGATTTTGAAAAAACCCACAAGTTTTCGAAATATGGAATATTAGTTAATGGAAACTATGTGTATAGGCTTATACTGCGAGAGACAAGCAATCTACACTGTTAAAAAATTTCGGCAGTAATATTAGGCAACAAACGGGTGAGTGCCTATTACCATAAGACTTCATCTTCACCTACCAGGTCTATATTGGTCTTTCGATGGGTATTTTTCCAAAAATAGTTTAGGAGTGCGCTACCCCATAGTTGCAAAAAGATGATAGTGGTTCACTCAATAAGGAATGAGATCATTGAACACCTTATCGATACTGCTCATACTAACTCAACAGACTCCTCATTCACAAAAAAATTGACCAAGTGCAGAGACTTTAATTGGTGGATGGTGACTAGCAGCGAAATCCAGGATGAAGCGCATTTCGTCCTATTTGGGACTCGTCATCTGGATGTACCTGCATTTCACAGGGAGTGGTGATGTTCCCACCGAGGCTCAAACACAGCGCCCATAGATTCAAACGCCAAAGGCACTGGGTTCGAGTCCGGGTGGGAAAATCATCACTCATTGCTGAATACACGTACATCCAGTTGACGAGTCCCAAATAGGGTGAAATGCGCTTTATCCACTGCTAGTCACCATCCACCAATTAAAATCGAATTACATGCCCATACATCATCGAAGCATCTGCACAAGAAGCCAACATGTCAACCTGAGACCGAGCACTTCGGTCCAATCAATCGACGGGAAAATCTAAAATTCAACTAAATCAGGTAAAGAGATACCTGGAAAGACACACTTCCATCTTCTATGGCACTGATCAAACTGTAAACATTCAGATAGAGGAACCGCAGCACTGAATACGCAAAAGGGAATTCTTTAGCCTCTTCTACAATTGTTAGTATTGCTTCTGTCATTTTCTGCCAACCTGACTTATTTATTAAAAATTCTATTTAACTATTTTATTACTTTCAGATTCCTAAGTAACATCACCTTTCCCATTGTTTCTATGAGCACTTTGATTACAGCTAATGAATTAAATAATTTATCTCATCACGTAACTCTAACACTTTTATTGAAATCTTCCTCCTCACAATAAATCACAGTAACATAAATGTTCATTTTCTTCATTTTCTTTTCTATTTGCGTTCGACAGCTATTTATTACCAAAAATATACACAAGACAGTCTTATAAAGTTTCAACGAAAATTGATTACTTCATTCGCTTGTATAATTCAGCACAATTACCATTAAAATAGACAGGTCTGACTGAGGAGTCAGTGTCATAGTGCTGAGCGCAGACAGTTACAGCACTCACTGACTTACGAGACAGCAAAGTGAAATCTGCAATGGAGATGTGACATATTGTACTGTACTAAGCATTTGGATTTCACAGAATAACTCCTCGATTTGAATAACACCCTAACTACTTCTGCTAGAAGTTAACTGGATAGCATCATCAGTCTTCAAACAATAAGTGTGATGTATAGCCTGATACATCAGAAGTCTGTCCTAGGTAACTGAGTCTTCACTAACGCTTACACAGAAGCACGTGGGATATACGCGACAATCGCCATTTGGAAGATCCTAAAATGTGGCTAACTGGATAATGGTTAAAGGACTTCATCATGAGCTGACATCGTTTAGAGAACCAATGGAAAACCTATAAGTACTGGACGGCTGTTTCGTCCTAGTCAGCAACTCTTCAACAGTACACACCCACAGCCAGGGTTGGAACCCAAAACCATCCGGTTACAAGGCGACTTCTTAGACCGTTGAGACACCGGAACCCTATCTAATGGACCATGAATTTCAACCTCTGCCAATTCATGATGTGGCACTACCAATAGCCAGTGTCATCCGTGGCAAGTATTTGTCCGCAAATCCAACGTGCTGTAGCCCACTCTATCACGACTTTCCACTAGAACCTAGGTAACTACTTACCTCAATAGAGCCAGTAGCTAGTGAGCACCAGATTGATCTTCACGTGTCGGTGTGCTGAGATTTGACTGGTGCGGGTGTATCTGTGTGCGTGTGAAAGCAAATACGCGCCGATGACATCGGATAGTGGCCTCGCTATGTCATGAATTGGCAGAAGTTGGCACTCATGGGCTGGCCATTGTGCAGGGTCCTATTGCCTCAATGGCCTAAGCACTCTCCTTGTGACCGGAGGGGATCGGTTCAGGGCCTGGCGGTAAGTGTGTGCTGTTGAAGAGTCCCGGACTAGGACGACACAGCCGTCCAGCACTAATAAATTTTCCAACTGTTCTCTAACCGATGTCAGCTCATGATGAAATCCTGCAACCAGTCAAATCCCTGCAAACCAACACTTAAATAGATAGTGGTTGCATAGTTTCCGAAGGAAAATAAATCGCTTATAGCGTTTTCATGTCGTGATAAAAAGAAAAATGACAATAATAATAGTAATAACAATAAAAGGTGAATAGACTAACCTTCTAATAAATCAGCTCGATACTTGACATTCTGATTTTGTGGATTACAAGAATTATTATTACTACTACTATTATTATTACTTCCAGCAGAATGATTTGATTGTTTTTGTCCTCTCTTATTTCGTTTACCTTTATACCGTTTAGGAGGTAGATTAATCATCACCGCTTTACTTGTAGTAGTAGTAGTGTGATTACCATTCAGTCCTGTATTACTGTTTGTTTTATTATCCCATTGATTCATACTATTATCTTCACGACGGATAACATAATTCTCTAAGCCTAATTCACTGCACACTGAAGCCTGTGTATATTTGTTAACTAGAGAATTTTTTAGCAACGATAAATGTCCTTCATGATGTCTAGGGAAATGACGAAACAGATAGTCAGTTGAAACATACTTCAACAGGGAATCACCGAGAAATTCTAAACGTTGATTATCACCACTGGAATATAAAATAAGAAAAAAACAGAAGAACAATTTAACTTAATAAAAAGTGAGCTGATAATAGAAAAAAAAGAATTACGTTATGTAGAATCTGAAAGCAAATGATTCAGTGAAGAAAAACTTTTCAGTGAAATTATTATCAACCTGAAGGATAAGATTCTAGTATATGACCAAATTCATGTGTGTTTTATCAGTCCAGTTGTTCCTGTAGAGCTAGGTGTAAATCGACTGTTCAAAGCCGGGGTTTTGTCTAAAAGGATGCCGTGAGAACACTTCCCCGCGTGGTTAGGAAGAGACAGAACTTCAGCTATAGAAAGCACAACATCTGAAAATCTGATCAGCAATGGTCATTCAGTATACTACAACCTCTTCCTTTAAAATTGTCGATAAAGTGAGAAATAACCCTACCAAAATCCATTATGTGTCTAACTCATTTGTGCTGCTTAAGCTCTGACCGTCTATATGCAGATAAAGTCTGTCCAATCACTCCTTTTATCTTGCTTGATGTTAAACTATGATTATTATCACAAAGATTTTGTCAAAATTCACATTACTTCATATATATACATACATATGTAACAGCAGAAGACAAGGGCTGGCAACAGATCATTTTTATTACGGAAATCAACACGTATTTATATAAATTTCACATACATTATTATAGCTTATTCAAGTAGACAAACGCAGGCTTCTGATTGATTGTTTCGAGTAACCATCGAAAAGTGGAGCCATCTGTCTGTGAATCATATTTGCCCACGTTAAGTTTGCTGTGATTGGTTGTTGAATCAGCCTTGTTCATATTTTCTCACGGACAATATTAGTGACCTAGACATTGACGTAGATTAATGTCTACCAATTGGCTAGCAGCCTGCTCTCACCAAATATATATATATATATATATATATATATATGACTCCTGGAAGACTAACTCCTAAAACCTCGCATAGTGTATTAGGCGACAGTGATCCCAGAAAAGAGAGAAGGTTGGGAGTGAGACAGCTAGAGATCCTATCCTATTAAAACCGTATCACCGCTACTGAAATCTAACAGCTTGACGCTCATTCAAAAGGCAGAGGAATGAAAAATAACATCTACATTTAAACCACACCCTGAACTAAAATTCTAAAGACAGTGTCTAGAATATATGCGAAGAAGTTTATCTGTACAAAAAATCAAGCTAGAAAAATTAGCAATATCGCTTGCTAAATTTGAAAACATGAGAAAAATTGACTCTTAACCACAACAAAACAAAAACACTTACAGGGTATAAAAATTGAAACCTGTCTTTCTGATAGTCATAGCACGAGCCAATACACGCAGATGCTTAAATTTTATTCCCAAAGTATCTTCTAGTGTACACAATTTCTAAAAACGAAGTAAAGCCATGGGAAAAAATATATACATAACTCTACAGGAATAACACTATTTTCTAGTAGGTGTTGAACTCCTTAACTCGGAACAAGTCACGTAGTAGGCTGCGTGTGAGAGCTAACGATACTAGCCAGTTGCGGAATCGAACTTGAACCTGACACGCACTACGTTAAAGCTGAGTGTTTAAACACCAATGAGCCATGTCTTTACACCCAGTGGTAGTGATAACGCGCAATACTTGAGTGGCGGAATCATTTAAATCCTAACCATCGTAGATAGATTATAAATATACTAACTTAGGTTGAAAAGAAAATTTTCTACAATTGCTCACGCCAGTGAAATCATCACAACACAGCTGAACTGAACAACTTAGTCGTTCAATGAAATTACAATGGGATAAGTGATTGGAATGTTGGCTGAATGAGAAAATGCCTTGAGACAAAATGGATAATGATATAAAGGTTTCAAAAAATCACTAATCCGTGTGTGTCATCACTGTCTGAGGTATAGCACTAAGGGGTACAGCGTTCTTCAAAAACTAACAAGATTTTGTGATTACATTTACCACTGACAAATAACAGTCAGTGAAAACCAAGTTTATTTTACAAGTTGAAACACAGACTGGGTACATTATCGACACTAAGAGATGCGCCACACAATGTTTCACAGTTTGCGACGACTGGGATACTGTTCAGATGCCAAGACGAAAGCACGTGGTTGTCTTAAGGGACTAACATCACTCCCCTCCTGCCGAGTTTCGGAGTAGTATGAGAAGCTATGTTCCCTTCGTTTCTCGTGACCGTAATGACTTCATTGGCCATCCGACTCATTCGGATTTTAGAGCCCATGTGCACCACAGATTTGGAATCGGTGTTTTCCAGCTCACATAGGTAAACCTGAATATGCACCACTCCAATTGTAAGCTAAGCGCCAAACATTCGCATTTATCCTTCCACATTTGTGAGGAACACCTCCACCGCATGAAGGCAGTCAATAGTACATACTTAGAAGACGCTATGAAGGCATGGAACCATGATAGCATTTCGAGAGGAAGACCACGAAGTCTAGTCACTCTTCCCTGTATCAGGTCTTTTGTCGTGGCCCGAAGAATTTCAGTAGCATTGTGAAGGTGTATGAGGTATTTTAGGCAGCTTCAACTAATATATAGAGTAAACACAGACCCAATGCGGACATAATGTCAATACGACTACGAAATCACGGATGATTTATTGCACAGTTGTGTTTTACACTGATGAAAGCAAGTCCACTCGAGGTTGAAGATAACTGATGGCCTTAGCAAATAGCTAGACTGTGTCAAGTTTTTTAATGCTAATTAGGTTGTGAATAAACATTGGTAGATTCAATATTAGAATATTGAATAGTCACCACAAACCCCTCAAATGATCTAGGTTCGATTCACAGCTAGCAAACTCATAATCCTCGCCTAGAATAGTAGTCCATAGCAGTCACGGAAAAGAGGGGAAGTAATGTGTGAGGCTAACAATCTAACACCACCTCTATTGAAACTCCACAGCTTGAAGTCTTATGTTCCACTCAGAGAGAGTGAATATGTGTCGTAAACCTCAAGTGTAAATAATCCAGTTGTTTACAATCTCAGATAATCGTATTTTGAGCAGTTTTACAATAATAATGGTTTACAGCCGAGTATCTATACTTTTGCCAGGTCGCCAGTGAGTAGCATTCTGTCAATAAACGACTTGAAAAGACGGGGGGTGCGTAGACTTCAGTCTTTGTTTCGAAATGTTCTCGTATGACCACATGTTCATAGCCCCTGCAAAGTGAGTTATGTTAACTTTCTTCAGTTCTAGCACTTACAACCGGACTGATGAAGGACATACAGGTCTACCCATGGGTGCTGGAAAACTGTTTCAAAAACACATGGTGTACATGGGCTCCAAAGTCAAAGCGGACTGAATGGTGTATGAACCTGTTTTCGTTATCGGAAACCACGGGTATGTATCACCTGACACTTCTCCATTGCCTTGTGGATCAGACTTCAGGATAATGGCTTAGATGGGTATGGACCCTTAATACAATCGCCTGCTTTAGTTCACACTTCCAGGCAGTATACGAAACATCTCACAAAGTATGAGATCATTTGTGGCGTAGGTAACACAAGACAACTTTTTAGGTTTTTCAGGAAAACAGGGGGCAAAACCCAAGTGAGACAATCTCCAAGAAAAATGGGACAACCATAACTAGCTCTCAGAAAAGACAACTGGAACGTTGGAAAGAACCCTTTGAGGAGCAACTTATCTGGCCTACAGACACGCTCAACTTACCCAACATCCAACACCTCCCTGAATGGCATATAAATACACGTCCTCCGTCCCTAACTGAGATTACAAAAGCTGTCTCTAATCTGAAATGAGGCAAAGCAGCGGGAACTTATGGGATAACTCAAGAGGTGTTCACGGATGCAGAGAGTTTACCGTCTGCGTTAACTAAGGTATTAGGCAGCGTCTGGCAATCAGAGATAGTCCCGTCGGGTTGCTGTAAGTCATTGATTATCCCGATAAACAAGGAGAGACAAGTCTTCCTATGATAATCAAAGGGGGATTAGCTTCATCAATATGATTTCCAAAGTCTAGGCTGAATAATCATGCGTAGACTGGGCGGTGCTCTCGAGAAAACGACATGAGAAAAACAGACAGGCAGGACGAGGGTATACTGATCATATATTCACCCTTCGACAGATTCTGAAACATAAACATACTTAATGGCGTAAAACAACCATCATGTTTCTTGACCTGAAGACGACATTCGATTCCGTAGACCGAGGTGCTACTGCGGTAAATGGAATGTCGGGAAAATAATTCGCATTGATCAAGGTAGTCTACTCGAACTCGTGCAGCCAGGTGAGAGCCTACAGAGTTGTCATCTGAAGTGGTGACAACCAGTGATGTCTATCACAGTTGCCGACTGTACCAATTTTTGTTTAATTCCATCGTAAATGTACGAATCGAATTAACCCAACCTGAATTCAGTGACTCAGGGATTGACTTTTCAGCAGATAACGGTCTCGTTGGCTAACCATATGCAGTTGATATAGTCTTTCTGAAGACCTCGAGCAAAAATCTTCACATGTTTAGCATGCTATCGCTCCCATCAAATGTAAGATGGTGCCATAGGATTGGACTACATCAACTCCCAGCTTATAGATAAGGAGTGAAGTGGAAGAGCGTGCTGACCATTCCACTTATTTGTGAGGTTACATCAACCTCAACGGCCTGGTTACTGACGCAATCCTCCTATGGATACAAAAAGGCTCATGTGGCATTTGACAACTTGCATCATTTCTGACGTGGACACAATATCCGACTGGCTATCGATCAAATGATGTGTGTGTTGTGCAGCAGTTCAGCCTGTCCTCCACTATGACTGTGAAACATGGCCATCCAAGGTGGGAGATACGAAAAGGCAACCTGTCTCTGATAATAGATGTTTGCGTTCCCGTGTTAGGTGACAGTATGGTGAGTAATATTGAGGTTAAGTTTTGAGTGTTAGGTGAGCAGGGTAAGTAAATCTATGCGGCTGTGAACCTGAATCCATTGACATCGCTAACACACATGTGATCCATGCCTAACCATCACCTTCCTCGGCGAGCAATCTTGGCTGAGCCAGTCATCTAAGGAGGTTTCGGCTACCTAGTTTGGGATCGTCGAGATGTCAAGATCCATTGGTGATGTGGCTCAAAACGGTCCTCAAGGACGCACATGTAGTCACTCTTTACGATTTGTCATACCCACAGAACCCTACTGTTTCCACGTGTTACTATTTTTTCTTCCTGGCATTTCTACTTATTGTCGTTCTCTTTTGTCTTCCTTTGTGTTTCAAGGAGTGTGGCAACTCAAAGTTCTACACTTCTGTATAAATTTCTATGCTGAAACCGGGCAGTCAGTGGAGTATCTTATGGTACCCAAAATGTACCAAGTTTGTACTTTAATAATAATAATGACAGTAAGCATTTCCACCTTAAAGGAAATGATAAGAATTTTCTATAGTTGGCTTATAAGGATTAGTTCTGTTTTTACGAGTTGATCACGGATTGATATCAGTTAGAGAACCAGTGCAGACGATATCGTCTTACTGTGCGATAGCATGCAGGCTGCCGAAACCCCACTTAATCGGTTGGCGATCAGTGTCTGTAAGTATGGTATGTGCTTTGCGCCGTCTAAGTGCAAAGTACTGTTACAAGATTGGCAGGAGCCTGTACCTGCACTCACTCTTGCAGGTGAACCGCTTGAAGTTGTTGATGAGTTTGTGTACCTGGGTAGTTGTGTAAGTGCTGGCGATGTTAGCCTGGCTGTCAAAGGTCGGGTATACAATACTTCGGTGTGGGCTGCCCTGCTCTACGCCTGTGAAACCTGACCTCTCCGAGCTGAGGATGTGAGGCGACTCTGCGTGTTCGATCATTGCCGTCTCCGCAGGATTGCTTGCGTTCGATGGCATCATCGCGTGAGTAATTCTGAGGTTCGGCCGCGTGTGTTTGAACACAGTGGAGATCACCATTCACTGAGTGTCGTCATCTGGAAACACCGGCTCCGGTGACTTAGACATGTGCTGCGAATGTCATCCCAGAGGCTTCCGCACAGGTCTCTATTCGCTAGCCAGGCCTGGGACGGGATGGAAAAGGCGGAGAGGTGGTCAGTCCATGATGTGGCGTCGTGGGATGAAAGATTTTTGTGCCAGATTAGCATCGGTTGGTGTGTCACGACTCCCTGGTTGGGGTGCGAGAGATAGCTCAAATCGGTGGCTCGAAACGTTATCGGATATGGCCAAGAATCGTAACCAATGGCGAACGTGTTGCAATTTCCTTCTTTCTTCCCTTTCCGATGACAGTTAACGAATACTGTTTGAACTTGTTAAGCATGACTGTTTTCATTCCAGATGAAGTTCTTTACCCGTTCTCAACTTATATATATATATATATATATATATATTTCTCCTCTTTCTTTTTTTCTTTTGATCCATGTTGTTTTATTATTATTGTGTGGCACATCCTTCTTGGTGCCATATTGTACCAAGTTTTTATGCGTTTAAATAAATAAATACCAGTGGGTGCGTATTGCCGATGATTCCCAGACTAAGATGAAACAGCTTTCCAGTACTCCCTGGTTTTCAACGGTTCACTAATTAATGTCAATCCATTATCAATTCGTAAAAATGATAAGAAGCTATATGTCATATGCGCACTAACTGGTAGTAGGAGATTTTAAAGAACCAACAGAGATTGGTACCAAAAAAAGCCTGATTTATACATCTAACTAAATCTATAGATATCCATCCCAGTCGTAAATATTCATAATCTGTCTTTCACCTTATTTACCTTTAATATTCACAGACTAAGAATTATCAAGGCATTACTTCTGTCTAATAATTTGTGTTACACAAAAATCAATATACAGCACACACAAAATTTATTAAAAGCAACAAAACTATTTCATTCCCACTTGATTCCCCCCCCCCCAGGAGTTTTGAATATTCAATAACAAAAAAGCCAAACTGATGGAAACTTACCCCGCACATATACTACTTATGGGGGATGTTTATTGAAAAGTAATATATACAGTAATAATAGTAATAGTTTTATCATGAATATATAAAACAGGCATAGAAAAAATGATAATGAATACACAAGGAAAAATGACGGAATCTCATTTAAGAATAGATGTTCGTCGATTTAACTTTCGAAGCATCCCACTGGTTATGATATATACCCAGGTAGACAAGTGCTGTTGAGATTGTTTTTTCTGCAGTAATCGATGTCGAATCTTTCTTCAACTACACTAGGCATTGGTGGTCATAATACACACTTCCATTTTCTTTTTTTCGAAACCAACAATAAGGTCTGTGTATACAATAAAATATATACAGACAGTGTTGTTGATGGGTAAATATCAAATCCCAGAAGATAGCTTGAAAGTTTTTACACTGACTGTATTCACTTCCTTCTCTTCTTCCAACAACCGCATCGTCATCATGACTTTCAAGGCAGTTTATTATACATCAGTATGCAGAGATCGATCAGATGGTGAACTACACTTTAAGTTTGTACACAATTATTGTTCGGAATGTGTAGTAATACAAACGAAAAGGCAGTTGACCAATTAACGATCGAATAAGCATCACATATGAAAAATTAATTAAAGATATATTACAACAACAACAACAACAAAGTGTTGAATAAAGAAAGGGAAAAAAAAGAGTACCTTAAGCATAGGAACTTTAGTTGCCCATGATCGATCACCATCAGGGCATTGGGCTTGTAAGGGATGTGGTGGGATTTGTACCCATACACGATGAATTCTTTCATCATCGCCAAAGAGGACTGCGCCAAATATCCTATCTACAACATCAAGTCCAGCGTCTAAAGCGATTGCAGCTGAAATATGAAAGGAAACATTTTATTGAATATATATTTATGTCTCGATGGTTTTATGGCAGAATGCACGCCAACCACGTAAGCGGTCTGGATTCTATTTCCAGTCAAAGCACTCTTTAACTCCACTTAGCTGGAAATAAGTCCAGTGAAGAGGGTAGGTTGGGCATGAGGCTGGCAATCCCATTCATGATGAAGTACATTACCAGTAGAAAAACTTCAATACTGAAGCTTGAAGCCCTATGTTCTATTAGGAATGCAGAGGAATGATTATATATATATATATATATATATATATATATATAGAGGGAGAGAGAGAAAGAGAAAGAAAGAAAGAGCAACAATGATGTACAACATTTACATGCACAGCAACATGATAGAATCCTCCAGAAACTTCAACACTCCAGTTATTTTAACGGCTATTTTATCGGTAATATTAGTTTGAACTCAGTCAAAGTGGTTTTCACACACGCCCGGCTATGGGTTATGCTTAAGGGTGCAAAAATGATGACAGGTACTGCTCAGTTGCCTGAGCTGGAATAATTGAAAGTCAAGTACTATCGGCAACGAGCAACAACCCCATTCAGTGGCAATAATAATGATGTTAGCAAAAACCACCTTGTAAATGAGTCTTTTTGGAGTGAAAAATAGCATTGTCCATATGTAAGTTTATTCTGCTGTGATTTTAAATGATGCGAAATTCGTAAATGCATAAAATTCGGGTGATTATGACATCCCATACGGTCCCAAATAATTTCAGTTATATGACTGTCACACATAAAACATGCTGGCTTAAAGACTAGTACACCCCAGAAGAGAGTTAGCTGACTGTATAACCAGAAACCAGAGTCGATGGTTGTATGATAGTAGAATGACCGACTGCCAAGCAGGTAGTCTGAGGTTCAATTCCTGGTCAATGTCCTCTAAACCTCGCCTAGTTTACTACCTAACAGTAAGTTTGAGAAAGAGGGAAGGTTGAGCGTGAGGCTTACAACTCCATCTCGTAAGAACAACACCACGGCTAATGAAAATTCAAAACCTTAAGCCTCAAGCCCTAGATCTCACTCAGAATGCAAAAGAATGAAGAGAAGCAAAGTAGTCAAAAACTAATCTAAAATAAAAAAAGAGTAAGATAATTTCCACCCTGAAAAAATCTCAGTGAGCTTAACCTCACCCCCAAACCTCATTACACTTGAAGGGGATAGTAATTTACCACAGTACTAAATTTATTCGACAAATTTCCCTGAATGAACACTATTCTAATAGGATATGAGGAATAAAGTTGTTTTTTATCAGAAGAGATTAGCGTGAACATATTATTGACAAGATTCAGTATTAGATTATGCTTCATACTACTTTTATAAGTAGACAACTAATCGGATTGACATGGATAAAGTAAATTAAGGCAACATTTGAGACGATAGCCCGTTTATTTATCACGATTCCTTTGCATTCCGAGTGGAATATAGGGCTCCAAGCCTGAGCTTTACAGTTACAGTAACCGTGTTCTTCTACTGTCAGTCTGTCTGTCTGTCTGTCTGTCTGGATTCAACATAGAACTTGGAACCGAAGTGCACCAGTTCCAGTTGCCACGTTACAAATAGCACACAAAGGTAGATAACAAGATGATGAGTGAAGAGAATCAATAGAGTTTGACAAGTATAAGAGTAAGAGGAAAAGAATATGAAAGATTACAGAGACTGAATACATCTGCGCTGGCCATTGATAACGATTTTGAGCCATGTCACCTATTGTCTCCACCCATTGATTCCTAGAGTCCCGAGGACCCCAACCCGGAAGTCTGAATCACCCTACCTGACGACTCAGTTTAACTGTCAAGGATTTCATGGATTGATGAGGCCATGTTTTTGTTTGGCCACCACTTACTCTTTTCCAACCTCCACCTATCTTTATCAGCTAGTAATGCCCGTCGGAGGAGGAGGCAATGGTTAGGCATGCGCACCACCTGACCTAGCCATCTCAATCTATGTAACTTTATAGCCTCGTCGATTGATTTTCCCTCTTTGCCCAACACTCTACGTCTAACGTCAACATTACTTACCTTATCATACCACCTAACGTGAGAAAGAGATCGTAGACATCTATGATCAAAAACAGTCAACCTTTTCTTCTACTGGTGTGACGACAGAAGATAAGGGCCAGGCAAAAGATCGTTTATTGAGAAAATCAAGAGGTATTTATAGATTTTTATGTATTATTATTATTAGCATTATTGTTAGCGGGAAGCAACCTCTCCTGATTGGTTGCTTTCTTGCTGAAGGTTATTTTGTACTGCTTGTAACCGTTGCTTACAGAATTATCTACGTATCTGCGAATAGTATTTGCACACGGTAAGTCTGCTGTGATTGGCTGGTGAGTTCCTCAAGGTTAGGCTTTGTTCTTGATTTTTTTTTCTCATGACCCCGATTCGGGAAGAAAACATTGACGTGAATTGTTGTCTACAATTTTGGCTTGCAGACAGCTCTCACCACACTGGGAGGATTCGCTAGCCTCCCAACCGACTTTTCCTCTACACCGGACTTACTACAGGGTATGTGGGGTTTATGAGTGCGTCGTCCGGGAATCGACTCCTGGGTCACATGGGGCGTGGTTGGCGACTGTTCTACCAATCAAACATGGACACACACGCACACACGAACAGGTACGATTCAAATAATACAATGAGCACAAATTTACGCCAGAGAAAAACTCACCCATTAAAGCTTCAAATGCGTCTGATCGAGCATATATAAATGTAGAATCATAGCAAAAATCTACACTATGCGTGTAGAGAAGAAATTTGTGGATACCCAATCGCTAAAATATCCACAAGAAAAGAAGAAAGAAAAGGAGTAAATAACAGATACGAATAAATACTCATCTTAAAAACCCCTTTGTGTAAAGATAAGTGAACACAGAAAAATTTATTTGGGAAAGCAGATACTCACAAACACTCATTCATCATTACATCCAGTCAATGATTTCATTAATTGATCTGGGGAATAATAAACAGACAGTTGTAGCAAACGTTTGTCTATCAAGCTTGCTGAAGCGAATGCGAAGATTTCCTTCTGGAAAAGCTGTCTGGATAAGCACTAAATACTTGAAATCATTCTGAAAAAATCTAAGACAAAATCGTATATCTCCCAATTCACGCAGGCTCACAAGACACACAAAGAATCACACTGGTGCTGTCCGATCTAGATTAGCTGAACTGGAACAAAACGTCTCACAATGAACTCCCATGTTCTCTACGATTTGACTGTTGATGAACGTGACTCATTCGAACACTACGGCAATACAGTTATCATCATGAAAATTAACCAGAGGCTAAATCCCGTCACCAAGAAAACAGCTTTTCCGTCTTTTCCCGAGAAATATGTAATCAATTTTTCTGATGTCTCATTTTCACCGATGAAGTCACACGGAAAACATATAGTTTCTGTCAGTGGAACATTGGTGAAGAGAGAGAGAGAGAGAGACTACGTCTACGAAGACCAAACATTCTGCTATTTTCTTATTTCTACATTTCTAAACCCTAATTGCACAATCAGTGTCAATCTTCTCAGTAATTATGATGCTACTTTGTCTGAGCTTTATCCTTCCCCCTGTTTATTATGGCATTTTACTTTCTAACTGTAAATTTATTAATTTGACCCTTGAACGGAAATTATTTAGGAACTTTCCCACCCATTTATTATAAATGTACAGCCTAGTTGATGACTTCGTTGAAACGAAAATTTTTTTTCGCTGCAAGTGTCTGTTTATTATGCCTTATAACAGATCTAACATACGGGACTCTAGGAATCAATGGCTGGAGACAATAGGTGACATGGCTCAAAATCGTTGTCAATGGCCAGCGCAGATGTATTCAGTCTCTGTAATCTTTCATATTCTTTTCCTCTTACTCTTATACTTGTCAAACTCTATTGATTCTCTTCACTCATCATCTTGTTATCTACCTTTGTGTGCTATTTGTAACGTGGCAACTGGAACTGGTGCACTTCGGTTCCAAGTTCTATGTTGAATCCAGACAGACAGACAGACTAGCATACAATCACGTAAAACAAACCTGATCTCATAATAATGAGCTGTTTTTAGATAAAAACGAATAATTATTCAAGCACAATAGCCGCAATATTTCTAACTAGGTTATCGTCGATTCATTAAGCCTATGTTGCATTTTTACGAGTTGATCACGGATTGATATCAGTTAGAGAACCATTGAAAACCAGGAAGTACTGGAGAGCTGCTGTTTCAACCTAGGTTGGGAATCATCGGAAGTACACACCGACTGGGATTCGAACCCAGAACCTTCCGGTTACAAGGTAAGCTCGTATACGATTCAATGGCGCATGAATTCTAACTTCTACCAATTCGTTATTTAGCGCCTATGTTAAACTCTAACTGATTGAATTCTGCACAAAAAAATGCAGCTAGTTAAGTTGACGCATTTCATTAAAGCAAACTTAAACGATAAAAAAGATGCAACCAAACTAAAATACGCGGAAATGCACAGGAGAAAGAATAACTACAAGGAGAGTGATGAGGATTTAATAAACGCGGAGGATGATAAGAAGTGAATGTATCCACGATATTAATAACAATTTTGATCCATATCATCAACAATCTCCAGTTATTGGCTGTTAGAGTCCCAAGGACCACAGCCAGACACTGTCTACACCTCCATATAGAGTTTAAAGACTTTATGGAATGATGTCGTCTGTTGGCGAAATTACTCCTAACACTCGAGCAGCACGAATGAGGATGGCTAGTCTTTTCATATCTTCCACTTCTAACGTCAATGTCTCATAGCTGTAAAGGAGAATGAAACAAACATGTTCTTTGATGGATAGTCAAAAATAACGCTTTCGCCAAAGATGATACAGACTGGCAGACAAAAGACGAGTCTTTTGATATGCACGCTGAAATTTTATTAACAATCAATCCATTCTGGGTGGCCGCTATAACAGGTAACCAACGATAAAATGACGAAGGGATGTAATACAAAAAAAGAAGAAACATATTTATATGAGTAAGCTATTAAGAAAATATCATATACAAAAGAGGATTTCACAGAGGTGATAAACGACACAGAAAGAAGATAATGATTAAACATAGAATAAAATGCTGAAAGGGACTAATAATCGGCTATTAAATAGTTAGACTACGCTTGCTCACAGTAGCGAAAGGATCTGAGATGATGTGATCAACAGTGACACCACACCATTGAGGAACTCAAGACTACTTCTACAAAAGCACACTTTGTGAAGTGGGCAATTGTTTGAATGCTTTATGGTAAATAAGGCCAATGGGTTTTACGATTTACGAAGTCATTCGACCGGTATAATGACGCACTAATATACCACAGCACTTAGATACGCGAAGCTTTCGAGAAACATTTTAATGAGAACAGAAATTAATTGGCAGATTTATGTCGTTACTGCCTATAATCTCAACTGGAGTACATAGAACTTAGTGAAACATTTTGCTAAAACTATCCCCTATAGTTGGATGTCCCACCAACGACAATGGTTGGGGTCGCGCTAAATCACGAATTGGTAGAAGTTAGAGTTTATGAGCCATTAAATCGGATCCCAGTGGCTGAATGGTATACGAGCTTGCCTTGTAACCGGAAGGTCCTGGCTTCGGGCCCTGGCAGTGAGTGCGTAGTGCCGATGATTCCCAAACTAGGATGAAACAGAAGCTGTCCAGTACTCCCTGTTTGTTTTCAATGGTTCTCTAACTGATATCAATCCGTGATCAACTCGTAAAACTATCCTATCTAAGCATAATAAAATGCGATTCACCAACGACAATATTATCACAGTTAAATACTGTTCAGTATATGAAAATAAATGAGGACGTGGGAAATCAGTAATAATTTGAAATATTCAAGCTTTCGTTTGTAGGAACCGGGTTGATTTCAAGCTGACTCAACGTACAGAACAATTGAAAACCAGGGAGTGGTGGACAGCTGCAACGTCCTTGTTTGATATTTCTCAGTAGTACGCACTCATGAGCTCATATGCCTACAGATTGAGACCATAATCTTCAGGTTATGAGTTTAAACTTGTTGACTATTCAACCACCAGGATGGAATCCTAAGGTCCATTTATTATAACGATATTTTGCTAAGAAGCTGCTATAAGATTCGTTTTATTATTATGTAATGTGTATTTTGAATTTTTTTGTCGTTTTTGAGTAAATTAGATGCAATATTGTACTACATGCTGAAAATTCCTTGCTGTATCATTAGTACTGTTTTTGGAATAAAGCAATTTATTATTATTAACGTCACCAATAGGTAGATATTACAAATGATGGATCAATGGGTCCTTTCAGTGGACGGACGGTCAACGGGTTCACCTTGTAACCTAAAGTATAAGACTCGACTTCTAGTGGTGGAATCATGGATGCATTTTCCGATGGAAAATTCCAAACAATGAAGTAACAGATGTTCATTTTCTCGCCCCCCCCCCCTGCCGTTCTCAGCATTTATACAGTTGAAGTCAGTTCGTGATCAAACCTGGAACAAAATAAACCTGGCAACTTACCACAGCCAATTCAGCCAAATGTTGATTTTGAACAATAGCCTGACGATAGGCGTCTAAATGACCCTCAGATAGTTCAGGAAACATGAAGAATAAATGTATGCTGAAAAAAATAACAGTGAAAATAAACAAAACAACAGAATAGTGATCAGCACAATAGATCCAAGAAGAGATAAAAAATTAAAGTTAAAAAACGCCTGTCTACATATTTGAAGATGATGAAAACAGTCAATTTATAATTTAGTGGAATTCACGATGCGCATTTCATCCCATTGGGAATTCGTCATCTGGATGTATCTGTACTCCCAGTGAGTGGTGGTGCTTCTGCTGAGATTCCAGCTAAACAACCGTCTTTTCAGACACCAAAACACTACCCACTAAGTCACTTCTTGTGCAACAGGTAGCAATTGTTAATTGGTTTAATTCATTTTTGGATTTTATCGCATCGACATAATAGGTCTGTGTTAGCGTTTAAAACAAAGGCTTCTGAACTCGAGTCTCATCAGAAACACACTCACTCACTGGGAATGCAGGTAGATCCAGGAGACGAGTTCCGAATAAGGCAAAATGTCCACTCTGGATTTCACTGCCAGTCACTAACATCCACCAAGTGATAAAATGTTAATCTTCAGACATCATCAAAACATCAGTTGTTGTCAGATCTGCCAAAGGCGGAGGGGTAGCACGCAACCTAATGGTCGTTTGCAAAATTTGAAGAAGGTTGCATACAATATGAATGCACCCCGGCCGCAACGTCGGTGGTTCAAGAACAGACTACTCGTCAACCATACACATGACAGGGATGGATTCTTGGCCAACACACTTCTACACCTCTCCTAGAAGGTAATAAGCCCACTAAAGAGGGAAGTTTGGGCGGTAAAAAACCAACACTGCAGCTACCAAAACTTCAGTGTTTAGGCTTGCAGTTCTACGTTCCACTCGGAACTACTGAGTGGAATAAAATGGTGCGGAAAAAACGATTCGTCCAGTTTAGACAATACAACAGTACCAGAAAAAGTTTTCATCTAATTCGCTTACCTTGAGATAACTTCAACAACTGCATCGCCTAGGAACTCTAATCTTTCATTGCCATAAATATTCGACCGTTCTTCATGCATTTTCGGGAGGAATGACATAACCTGTATCATTTTTGTCAGCCCTTTTTTACGCCATGCTTTATATAATTCTAATTTATCTCCATACTCCAAGATACGTGGACCACATGTAACTAGAGAGTTTTGAAAATGATCTTGATTTGTACCGAAATTTGTTCGCCTATATGATGGATGCGTAAGTGATTGCTATACAACAAGCGGGAGAAATAATATACAATAATAAATAACGAGACAGAATATCCTCATGCGTACACCATACAATATAAATAATAAATTCACACCTGAAAATAGGGAAATGTTAGCCAATGCAATCATTTCTTAATTATCATAATGAATGAAATAAAGGGAGTGAAAAGAAGGCCACATGACGATTGTATTCTTAAGTCAATAATCAATATAGCCTATGTTAGCTCAAACACTGGCAGCTGTATTAAATTCTCATTGTACCATGTTTTCCGTCTGCCTCTCGAAATGCTCCTATGCAGCCACTCGTTCATAGCCCCCCTTATTCGCTGCCTTCCCGCCGTCAGGACGGGTCACCACGTCTAAGGCGCTAGCAAGCGAACAGGTGAACATGAAGGTTTACCTATGAGAGCTGGAAAATCCTGATTCCAAATCTACAGTCCACATGAGACCCAGAATTCAGACAGGTGAAATTGTGTATGAACTTGTTTTGTCCACTGGGAATGTGGCTCCTGACACTGCTCCATTGCCTCGTGGTTCAGGCTTCAAGTTGAAAGGCTCGGGAGACGAGATGGTCCCTTAAGACAACCACCTGCTTCAGTGTGGGCTCCTGTGCAATATCCAAGTGCTCGCATAAATTATGAAATTTTGTGTGGTGTATCCTTCGGTGCCCTTAATTTACACGTTTGTTTTTAATAGTAATTATTATCATATGTTCACAGTTAAAGGATTTGATGATTATAGATGTGAAATGTTATAAATCAAAATCAATTTCAGTGTCTCTCGTGTATGCATCCATTTGGTGTAGGCTTTTAGTCAATTTCCTACACTTTATCACTCCACTACTTGTAAGAGAAAACCAACAGAGTAGCTGAAGAAGCAGGGAGGACGGGACTCTAGGTGAACACAGAGATGATGAAGATAACCAATCATCAGAGAGAACAAACACTACCAATCATTATCAGAGGAAGAAGTTTGAGAGAGGTTACTTCCTTCACTTATCTAGGAAGGCGTTGTCTCAACCACAGGCGGAACAGATGAAGATGTCAAAGCCGAAATCGGAAAGGCAGGGTACATCCTCATCAATCTGAAATCAATTTGGAAGTTTTCTGAACCCGTCAAAAAAGGATAAGTTTCGGGTTTTCAACACTAATATTAAGTCAGTCAGTTCATCCATAGGGGTCAGCAAAATTGCCAAGCGTGTCACCAAAAGCATTTCCGACAGGCTACTGCAAACTCTTGTCAACAACTGCCTTCACTGGCTCCATATTGAAGATCAAATGACCAGCCAGAAAAAATTCGCCACAAAAAACTATGGCTAGGAACCAACCAAGAATGAAGACGGATAGGGCACACACTGAGAAGACCGTCGGACGACATCGCGCAACGGGTCATGCCTCAAGTGAAACCTGAATGGGAAGCAACGACTAGGTAGTCCTAGGGTAACATGGAGGAGGTTGTGGGAAGAAGAGATGAGAGACCATGGCAATCGTGAGTCCAGCTAAAGAGGACAGTAGAAAACAGTTCCACTCGGAACCCAAGGGAACAATGATATAATAATAATAATAATTATCACTCTGCTTCTTTCAAAATATTCCTGTTCATCGTGAACTCTTATATCTTAGATATTCTGGAATGATTGAAATATGGAAGTGACAGACTATTAACTCTAAATTGAAGGTTATCACACTATCTTTGTTTAATAATTTAGCAACAGCGTATTTCTGTGCACTTAGACATACACACAGAACACTGATGATTTAATGTGGTTTCCATAGCTCCATGAGATTGAGTACAGGGTATAAATGTGTGACTAACCAGTGGAAAAAGGTTGAATCTCTTGACCAATGAGCTTAAGCGCTCCAATCTGCAAGCAAATGCTTGGAATTCCCTTTATCAAACAACTAAAGAAAATTATGAAGTGAGTGGAAATATTGATTTTATTTTGATTATAAACTGGATTAGTAAGAAAACTGCAGACAATGTTAGTGTGAACAAAACACATAGTTCAGCAAAGTGTCTCTTTTCGCCAGGGAATTCATTTTCTTAGCTGTACAATCGCAAATATATATATGAGGTATTTTGTATGTATGTGAACATTAAGTTTGTCAAACAAAAATACAATTGGTTATGGACGAATTATTCCCATATAGAGTCATAAGAAAACGGCACAAACAGCGAAGAAAATTTTCTTTTCAATTATTCATTTTCATGAACTGTACAATCGTAATTATATTTAACAATCCAGCTTGGTTAGCCAGAGAAGAAAGGAATAGCAACAGCCCTATCCTAGGACACATTGTCATCTGCGGACATCGAGCACCCCCGCATGAATGCTTTACAATGCTAAACAGAGTCCCGCAATATCATACAAAGTGACTTCACATACGCCATCTGTACATAGCTGAGGCATTAGCTATTCGCGATTTGAAACCAGACCTCTACATTCAAAAGCGCTAAACACATTCACTCGCCTTACCGTGGCCAGAGTAAAGTTCTTATCATAATCTTGCTTCTTTTTTAATCTGTATGTTTTCTATTATTATTATTATCTTATTATCATTACTAATCCCATCATCAACATTTTATTACCACTCTATTACTGTGTATTGATAACATTGCTCCTTCATTAAGATTTTACCTAAAAAACACTTAATCGCCGTTCCACTAGTTCCTGTTCATTCTACACGAGCTTATTGATTAGTCATTATCTCACACTTACTACGTCATGCCAACTTCTGTATCTTTTCTAACTTACAATTAGTCATCACATCTAGGTTACACCTAACATTACGTGTGTGTAAACTATTAAAATATAATTATACTTTATTTGATCTAATCCACAATGCTCAAACTTTTTACTGATATTAATTCAACTGACGGTCTTCCCATTAAAAGACTGGCCAACAAACTCACACATTTATATCAAGCTGAATCTCGATTTATGAACCATCGAATTTTCAACATCAGATGCCTTAAAAATGCAATTATTCCTGTATACATGAAATTAAAATCACCAATATGTACTGATAAAGCAAATGCAGCGCTCACACATGCCTCAAATTTATGCATCAAAGAAAACCTACGTGGAATTATACAAAAGCTATTCACGATAAGGAAAGATATTAATGAAGTAAAAGAAAAATTGAAAGAAGTAATTGAAAAAGAAAAGTATGAAAGCATACTACAAGTTGCACAAAAACGAAAAGAAACTACTTATGAAAAAACAAAGGAGAAACAAATCAAAAAATTTAATAAACTCATGATAGCGAAAACTCCGAATGACAGACAAGTAACTAAAGCCAATTGGATTGTAAACTTGTCAGACAGAAAGCTAACAGAAGCAGAGGAAAGCGTACTGATGAAAGGGATGAACTTCAATATCAGCAACAAAAGATTAAAACCTGAAGACATCATACCTGTAATTGAAACAGCACTCGAAGGATATGACAAGCAAAAAGCTGAACTGGTACGAGCACAATGTGCACTTACCTTAAAAAAGCAAAAAGCAGAAAAACCAAATATAACGAAGGAGGAACTAAAAGCACTTCAAGACATAAAAGCAGACAAATCCATTGTCATTACTCAAGCAGACAAAGGAAACACAACAGTATTACTTAACAAAACAACATATAATGAAAAGATGAATGAACATCTACAATCTGGACCCTATACCATAATGACTAAATCAGCTGAAACAATCATCAACAAAACAATGAAAGAAACAGCAAAGTTAGTTAGACAAATGAAAGAAGTAATTGGTAAGTCAAAATGGTTTGAAATTATGCCAAAATCTTGTAATGTACCTAGGATATATGGTAAGATAAAATTGCATAAAGAGGGATATCCAATAAGACCGATTGTAGACTTCAGAAACACACCAACGTATATGCTATCCAGATTTCTCTCGACAATACTAAGACCGACAAGAGACAACTCAAAAGCTAGAATAGTAGATTCATTTGAATTAGTGAGGCGAATAAAAACCACTAAAATAGAGGAGGAAGAAATACTAGTTAGCTTTGATGTAAACAGTCTTTATACGAAAATACCCATTCAAATGGCCATGAATGCACTGAAAGAGAAACTAAATGAAGATAATGGCTTGAAAGACAGAACACAGTTATCCGTAGAAGAAATAACAAAAGGGATAGAATTCTGTCTGACAACAACATATTTCACATTCGAAGGAAAAATATGCCAATAAAATGAAGGAGTAGCTATGGGATCACCTATTCCACCAATTATAGCTGAAATATTCATGGATTATTGGGAGGAGAATGCCCTTAAACCATTCAGATCCTCAGTAAAATCTTTGTGGAGATATGTAGACGACACACTAGCAATATTGAAAAAAAACGATACTGAGAAACTGTTCTCACACATAAACAGACACGTCGACTCAATAAAATTCACTATGAAATTAGAGAATGAAATTGGAGAACTGCCCATGTTAGACTGCAAACTACAAAGAATGACAGATGGTAGCATAAAAACAACGATATATAGAAAAGCCACACATTCTGGAAGATTCCTTGATTATTACTCAGCTCATCCACTCTCGGTAAAACGAGGATTAATACAAGGTCTTGCAGATAGAATACGTAGACTTACAACAGCACCAGAGGACCAGCGTAAAGAAATAAAAGTCCTATTCAAAATGCTACTCGAAAACAACTACCCTAAAGAATTTATAAAAGATAATATAAAAAAGAGAAAAAAGAGGGTAAAACCGGAGAATAACAAGATGGAAGAATGGAAAAAAACAGTCGCAATACCATATAAAAATGGTACATCAGAGGCAATACAAAGAAACCTCAAAAATATCGGCATTCGAACAACCTTTAAACCGACAAATCTAATCAAAAATAAAATAAATCAACTGAAAGATCCCATAAAAATGATGGATAAAAACAATTTGATTTATAAAATATCTTGTGCTGACTGTCCAACTAAATATGTGGGGCAAACGTCCAGATCACTCAAAATAAGAGTGAATGAACATAAACGCCTAACTAAAGGTCAACCAACAGGGACACAAGCTTACAAAAATCTTGAAAAAAATTCATCGATAGCTGCACATGCATGGGACAAAAACCACAATATCGATTGGGACAATGTGTGTATTCTAAAAACAAACATGAACAAATGGAAAGAAAGACTCATAACAGAATCGATATTCATTAAAGTCACACCGGATACATGTAACAAGGGTGACTCAGTACAACTATCAACAACTTGGAATATAATTCTAAACACAAACACATGAATGAATGTGGAGTATAATTCTGAACACACATATGCACACGCAAAACATGAGTAAAATAATAATAATAATGAACTATACATATAAGTACAAATCATCAGAGTAGTCTTTCAATATCAGCTACACGGTGAGGCCAAATGGTACAAAAGGCGTCATGTAAGCAGAGGTGCTGGCGATTCGTCAATACAACCCCGAACTCTTTATGCAGAAAAAGTTTGTCCAGTCTCTTATTCTACCTTGGTCTTAACCTCTTCACTAGTCGTTCCCTGTAAAAACAATTTTAATTTTTCTTTTTTAATTTTACTTTTAGTTTGCTTTTGCTTTAATAATTAATTTACTACTATCACACTCTCGTATGCTCCTTCTGTACATTTCACACTCTCTTCACACTTGTTAAACTGACACTCAACTACCACCTTTATTCTCACTCAAGAGCAATTTTAACCTTATCAAATTTCTATCTTGGGATTTCGTCGATAAAGAAAATTTTCTTCGCTGAATCTGCCTTTTATTTTCTATCTTTGTGCCGTTGAGTACCACGTGATTTACAACTTTTAATTTTCACTTCTAAAGCCACTTCTGAGTAATTATATCAACTATGTCTCCCCCTGTTACTCAATAATAGACCATTATAAATTCAGAAAAGCGAAAAAATACAATATGCATCGAAGAATGACTCGAAGAAAACCCACATGTAATAGAGATTTATCAGTAAAAGTATAACCTAAACGATTCTCCAAGCTTTCCAGTGATTTATGAAAACGTAGATGAGCTATAAGTGAGACTAAATTCAATGCATGCTGTGGTATATCCGGTCGTATTCCCGTTCGATAGAAACCTTCACAACTGATTTCTACAGTCACTTCACGTCGGTGTACTCTGTCGAAAAAGAAAAGTATTTATAAAAGAAATAAATTTTATAAACAGTCGATCAGTTTAAATTATTATTATTATTATTATAATAACTAGGTTCGCTACCATAAAGGCTTATAAACCAGACGGAAACCATACAAGTAAGGTATTTCAGGTATATTCTTGGAATATCTAGTGTAGAAAATATCTCAGAAATCGATTAGGTACCCGTTATAGATTTCGTTCACCTAAAATGTACAGACGGAATGGTTCTATTAAGTGGGGAAGCTGACAAATGCGGGGACTTATGAACATGCTGAACACAAATCTGTATGTGTATCACTCCTGTCGGCGCATCGACTTCGGACAAAAAGATACAGAATGATGTAGGTATGCATTTGGTAGACTCAATGATTTGGTAAATTTTACGGAATGCAATGTATTGCTTACTGAGAGAATATTAGCACACCGATAAGAAACGCGCATTCACATAGATTATATGCATTATCGTCATATGAGAATAGCAGGATTTACATTAAGCAGATTACAATCGTACTATACAAGAACAGGCAACCAGCATGTTGTGTAAATCAGGCAACTATCAATGTTCCTTAGTTAAGAAAAGAAACATTCATTTTAACAGATGGTATTTGTATTCTTTCTCCCATGTTAAGTGGTACAACATAGTGTGTAATATTGAGGTTAGGCGTGGAGTGTTAGGCTAGGACGGTAAGTCAACCCACGAAGTGAAGAACAATTGAGATGGAAAAAACGCGTGTAGTGCACATTCCGAACCACCGCCTTCTTCGACGAGCAATGTTAGCTAACATTGGATCAGGTTTGAAAAGAGTTAGGGGTGGTCATACCAAAACTTGGCATCAATCAGTTCATGAAAGCTTTCATAGTTGGTTTCAGCCACATAGAAGGGTGGGAACTGCTTGTTTGGGGTCCTCGGGATGCTGAGATTCAATGACTTGGGACTGATTGGTGATATAGCTCAAAATCGTTCTTTGAGAATTCATATCGTTCAAATATATATATATGTATATATATATATATATATGACTAAGAAAAGGAGACTAGGAATAGTGGAAATAAGCATCAAATAAATACTTTTTTTAGCTATTTCATCTCCAAATTTATTATCACTAATCATATAACCAATTGAATTTTGTACTTGAGTAGCCTTAAGATCGCTATGAACATTCAAGAGCATCCGATTGATACAATTCGCCCGATGATGGCTATTAATCTTGATTGGACTTTAGCTTCAATTCTCATGCTTCATATGTTACTCGCTACGTTAACCTGCGAATCAAACAGCTTAACTTTATGTGAGGATTTAACTCAGTAGTGAATTTTCATGACTTCTGTTTATAACTGCTTATATACAACATCGACACTGGTAAGGCAAGGTAAGATACTAATGAAACGTTAAAACGACATGGCGTTTACACCGTCAAAAGGGAGAATACCTACTCTCAACGATGGTATCTGATTGCTTTGATGACTACACAACGAATAAGTTAAAGTTCGGATTCATACGCCAATAGTGGATTTCAACCCGGCAGCTTGGTGGTGGTGGTGGTAACCTTGTGACCCGACGATTTTGGATTCCAACCACAGCAGGATCATGACTACTTTACTGTAGAAAATCAATTATCTAGTGCTGCCTGATGTTCTTCAGTGGTATTCACAATCTAACTTATTTCTATCCGTAGTGCTGCCTAACCTTGACATTGGTCAAACCCCAACCAACCCAACAGCCAAATATATATAGTATAATTTAAAATTAGCTGTTCATGGAAATTCTTAGTTAGCAGTTATAAATTTTGTAAAAAAAATCAGTATACACCTACCCAGAATGCTCCATCTCTTCTAATTCACTAGCCAGCTGAACCAATTGTGCACGATCGGATGGACTAATTCTTGGCTTATTCATCATTAGATATTGTAACTTCATGAAATTTTTCAGCACACATTTATACTTTGGTTCACGTGTTAAACTCAACTTCATTGGTGTATACGTCATATGCACTATGAGTGGATAAATGAGTATTGTTTCATTCGGTTGACCTGTAACCGATTGACGATCCAACTGATCTATGCGTATAGCAGCTGGTTTCTGCAGTGGAAGGCGGAGAAATAAGGATAGTTAAGTGAAAAAAGACACAACTTACACAAAATACCATCTATTACATAATAAGTATGAATAAGACTTTCAGAAACCCGTTACACATTCTTTGTTAAACAAGTAAGTTAACAAACAGAAAGATTTGGTAGGCCCAAAAACTATTTGAAGACAATTACGAGAAAAAAAATATCACACCAGAATGTTAATCACCTAACTAATGACGGCTTTTGACAACAGTAACGCCGGTAAATCACGCAGGACTGCAGACGACCCTACACTTACCTACCGAACACATCTACTTTACAAGTTTCAACACAGATTGACATCAATTAGAGGACTATTGAAAATCATGAAGTACTGGACAATTGTTTCTTCCTGGTTTGGGGGACCTTTCATCGGTATGCACCCATGATTCTACCAGGGATGGAACCCAGAACATGTATGTTACAAGACGACTGGAATTCGACCCAACAGCTTCCTTGGTAACCTGAGGGTACTTGGTCCGATCTCCTGTGGGGTCATCAGTGGATAGCGCTAAAGGGTCCCCAACTAGAGTGAAACAGATGTCCAGTACTCCCCGCGCTTGGCTTTCAATAGTCCCTCGACTTATATCAGTCCATGGTTAAACTTTAATCTAATCAAATCCCTACAAACTAATACTTGAAAACACTTTTACTGTCATACTACTTAAAATGGCCTTCGACTTTAACATACCGTTTACATTTAACAAGTTTGCAGTAGAAACTAAAAAGCATAACAAGTTGATTCGGAGGAAATGATTTTTTTAAAACCAGTGGTGTGAGAAAATAATTCAGCACTCAGGATTTCTGTGTCAAGTGGTGGCTTCGGTTATTAGTAGTAAAGAAACATGGTGTACCTAGAGATAAGCAGGATTTCTTTAATAACAGCTGTCAGGGTGATACATTCCAGTAAGTGACAGTGAATATCGATACGGTGTGTTATACATATGAGATAGTAGGACTTGTAATAACTTATATATAAAAGTAATTGTATACACATTCCTGTCTTTCTCTAACCTAGACACTATCAATTTGATTTTCACCTTATCTTCCATGAACATTCTTTCAGTCATACATAGTATATTAAGACATTCACCTGAGGTAACTCAGGTGAATGTCTTACAATTACGATAGTGATTTCAAGTATTCTGCTGTAGTATTCATACAGTATTCACACGGCGGCCTGCTTAAATCTTGGGCTACCAAAATTTCCATCCTACATATTGCATCTATTTCCTCGGATTTATTTTGTTTTAATCATTCAATTATGTATCCAAGTCGCATTACTTACTCTCGCGATTATTTAAAATGTTTTCAACCTGTTGATTTACGAGTATATAATAACGTTAAGAAAAAGCATCATGGAGGTTGGCAGAGATCATTAAAGTGTACTCCAATGCATCAGATGACTGTTCCTGTGATTATGAGCACAAATTGCAGGTCATTATCGAACAAGATTAACTACTTGCATTCTCTATTATACTCAAATGTATATTGTAATACTGGTGTAATCACTCTTCAAGAGACTTGGCTCCATGATTCATATGACGACAATTTAGTCTCCTTAAGTGGGTTCACAATCTACAGACAAGACCGATGCAGCTCGAAGAAGAAGAGAGGTGGTGGTGTTGCCACTTTTATTAATTCTCAGTGGTCTACTGCCAACAACGTCTGCTTCAAATTCTCAAATGACAATATTGACTGTATAACTGTAAAATGTCGACCTAAACACTTACCTAAGTACAGCTCCATTTTTGTCACAAATATCTATATCACACCTTGTTGCAGTCCCTCAGAACTATCTATCTTCGCTGATGAATTCACTATTTTTGCTGCTGCTTCGTTTGGTAACTCCTTATCTATAGTGACCGGCGACTTCAACTCCAGCGACTGCAGTTTTATTACATTGCTGGGCCATGCAAATGTTGTTAATTTCCCAACTCGACAAAATACTTCACTTGATTTAGTATTTGTAAATGATTCTGGAATATACGAAGCTCGTAAAAGAGCCCCGCTCTTCAATTCTGATCATTGTATTGTACGAGTCTTACCCAAAATTTACGGAAAGTTACACAGTAAAGCCCTCTCAAACTTGTCTAAGAAAGTTGTTCACAGATGCTACTCAAATGAGAACGTACATCATCTTAGAAACATGCTCAGTGACACAAGATGGGATTTGTTTAATGTTGATTCACTTAATGACAATATCTCTAATATTACATCCTATCTGAAATTCTGTTTTGAAATCTGTTGTCCAAAAGAAACACTATTCGTCAAATTTGACCGTTTCTCCTCGCCTCAACTTAAAAAGCTTCGTAGAGAGAAGGAAAAACTATATAAAATCAAAGATAAAAGTGGTGTAAAAAGAACTAACTTCTTAATTAAGTCTGAAATGCAGAGGTTGAATGTAATATATAACCAGAAATTCATGTCCTGCAAAAATCCTTCTAATATGTGGAAACTATTTAAGGAAATCACTGGTGGTAAGCAGATAAACAATATTCCATATTCTTTTGATGTATGTACTCTTAACAAATCTTTTATTTACTCTCCCTCAAATGCCATGCTTCCCAGCATCACTTGTGTTAATAATAGCCCCTTTCCAGGTTTTAACACAAATGATGTTCAAAAGTGCCTCAAGTCTCTAAACCCTTCCCAGAGCTTAGGTCCCGATTATGTACCTAGTATTATTTTTAAAAAATGTTCTGATATTCTGTGTCACCCTCTTACTGATCTATTTAACAAATCTTTTTCCGATAATATTGTGCCTGCCGTTTGGAAGGACATTAAAGTTGTACCCATACCTAAATCTTCTACTGGAGCATGTGTCAAATTTAGACCCATTGCTATTACGTCTCCTTTTTTGAAAACTATGGAGAAATTACTTTTACTTAGTCTTGAACCTTCGCTTAAATCCTTTAATGACCCTAAACAATTTGCCTATAAGCACAGTAGAAGCACTTTAGATGCAGCTGCCGTCTTATATCATAACATTGCTTCCAGTCTAGACAAGGGGGCTAAATTTGTTCGTTGCGCCTTCCTAGACTATACATCTGCTTTCGACTCGGTCCCTAGGGACATCTTATTAAATAAACTTGCTGCTAGTCAAACAGAATGTTGGGCTGTTAACTGGTTGCATTCCTATTTCTCAGATAGAAAGCAGTACACCGTATATAAAGGGAAGTCCTCCACTTCATTGCCTACTGAAGCTGGTGTCCCTCAAGGTGCTGTTCTTTCTCCTTTTCTTTTTTCTTTCTTCTTGCACGACTTGCCTCACTCTGATGAAATAAACTTTGTGAAGTATGCTGATGATTTAACGGTTTCAATGGCTGTTAACTCCCAGCTAGATTGTACTAAAATAAATAGCTTTCTATCGGAAGTCAGCAAATGGTCTGAGTCTAACGGTCTTAAACTGAATCCTTCTAAGTGTCAAACTGTTGATTTCAGCTTAAGATGTAAACGACAGTTAAAAGAAGTCATCGATTCTCATGACAGTTGTAAAATTGACGACAATGATATAGGAATCAAATCAGAAATTAAGTATCTTGGACTCATTCTCTCTTCTGATCTCTCCTGGTCTTCCCATGTCTTAGCAATCTCCAGTAAAATATTCCGCTTGACATTTTACATTAAGAAGTTAAGACACTCGGGTATAACTCAACCCCTCATCCTACAGTTCGTAAACTCTTGCATCCTACCTATTCTTCTTTATTGCTCACCCTTATTCTTTCCTGGTTTGCTTAAAAAAGACTATGTCACAATTCGTAGAATACTGAAGACTGTCACAAGAGTGAGTGGTGTCCCAGTGGACCACATAGTTAACGTCGTTGTCGATAGGCACTTGACTTCGTGCAATAAATTTGCTAAAGGGATTTTGTCTGACTTGGAGCATCCGCTTTACCCTCAGCTTTCACCTTGCATCTCCTCAGGTAGAACAAGGAGTAACTTCAGAAAACTGTATGCTCGCACGTCTAAGTATAGAAATTCTATGATACCATACTTGGCACGTATTTTATGTGATGAAAATAGTGTCAGGCAAGAATTAACTAACCTTTTTCATCTAGTAAATAAACAATTTCCTCCATCCATCCTTATGTACCTTCAAGTTTTACTTTTATTACTTCTATTATATTTATGGTCCTGTTACTTCTTTGTTTTACTCTCATAATTGCAAACACCAACTTATCTCCATGACGGCTGTAATCTTTGTTTTTCCCCTCACCATATCATGTAAAGAGAACATTATATTCAATATTTTTAAACATGTTAGGATTTCTATACCACATTGACAATACTGTGTGGCACAAGCCAACGGCAATTTTCACTTGTATTCTTATTATTATTACCCTAGCTGTTATCATTATTATTGCTATTTCCATTTTATATGCTGCATGTTTTTGACACTACCTCTATTGTAAATGTGAAAAATTTTCTGTGTGATTAATTTTATTTATAATTTGAGGAAATTAGATGCAATATTGTGATTAATGCTGAAAATTCCATTCTGTATCACAAGTACTGTTTTTGGAATAAAGTAAATCATTATTATTATTATTAGTAGTAGTAGTAGTAAAACAGAAAGCTACTTCAGACTACAAAAGACTGACTTTCAAATAAGTTAGAAAAGCTTCCACGAATAAGTTCATATTATTAAAAAAACAAAACTAATCCTTACAAACCAACTATAGAAAATTATAATTATAAGAAGAAAACTTGTTCGCTGTGGCAGAGCATAATTCCATTATGGGCAAAATTTTGTTTTGATAGTCTCACAGTGTTATATAGTTTTCTTTACTGATGATGTTCCGAGCACAACTTATTGCTCATAATCATATCAAGACAACACTCACACAACTTTCTAACATCGTTTATATAATTCCATTATTTTTCATCGCTTGGCTTGATTGGTAATAGTATTTTCCATATTCCCAGTATGAGTGATGAGTCATTCCTATTGCATTTGTTGTGGGCAGGCTCGATCGACGAACAAAGACTCAGTAATCAACCTCTCTCTCTCTCCACCTACCTAGATTACTTTTCAGAATTTTAACCCTCTCCCACCATGCTATTGTGTGTGGTTGTGTGTTAATGCATGCAGTGCAATTGTGATATGTATCCATATAATATGTGTGTTTGTTTGACAGTCTGTTATATTTCCTAGGTATATATGGATCGATATTCCATTGTAATTAGCCAATCATGTTAAGACTGTCTATTGATTTGTTCATTTTGAATATTCGCTCACACACTTGTTCGGACATTTATATTTTTGCTCTCACACTCTTGTGTGACATTGATTCTCCTTGTGTTTGGAAAGTAGAAGTATCATCGCAAACCTAGTGGTCTTCTGATTTCCGTCTTTCTTGCGTCAGGACTATTAAATTCTCGACCAGTATATAACAAATTGCTGAGCTTTTTTCTAAATTACTTACCCTCTCGGAGTCAACCATTCTCACCTTAGCTAAATTCTTATGTTCCGACAATCTGACTACCCCCGACCTACTAGTTTGACCTATCCAGTTGACCTCATTCATACTCGTTGCAAGGTATTTTGTAAATTAAATTATTTTGTCTAATTGGGTCAACTGGGTCCTTTAACCTGCAGAGCTTGTCCCAGAGTGAGTTTGTACGTTTGAATGCCACTCTAATTCCTCCTTTATTGAGAATCCTACATAGGGTTTCGATGTCCTCTCCTTATATGGTAAAACTATTCTTTGTGCCTTATATTCTTTCCTAATTAAGTTATCATTATCAGTATCCTCATTATTTATATTTTGCTTTTGGCCTTTATTGATCTTCCTAATGAATAGGATAGTTATTTGATACCAACGCTTCTTCTGTCTACTTTCTTTCATCATTTAGGTCTTTTCTTGCATAACTCAGTGCTACCGCTCGGTTTGTTAGACACTTAGCTACACCTGCTTATAGAGATAATGGACCCAGTTAGCCCAATTAGACAAAATGATATAATTTACAAAATACCTTGCAATGACTATGAGTGAGGTCAACTGCATAGGTCAAACTAGTAGGTAAGGGGTAATCAGATTGTCAGAACATAAGAATTTAGCTAAGGTGAGAATGGTTGACTCCGAGAGGGTAAGTAATTTAGAAAAAAGCTCAGCAATTGCACTGCATGCATTAACACACAACGACACAATAGCATGGTGGGAGAGGGTTAAAATTCTAAAAAGTAATCTAGGTAGGTGGAGAGAGAGAGAGAGAGGTTGATTACTGAATCCTTGTTCATCGAGTCTACATCCAACACATGCAACAAGAATGACTCACCACTCACACCGGAAATATGGAGAAGACTACTACCAATCAAATCAAGCGATGGAAAATAATGGAATCATATATACGGAGTTAGAAAGTTGTGCTCGAAACGTCATCAGTAAATATTACTGTATAACACTGTAAGACTTTATCAAAATAAGTTTATCATTATTATTGATACACAAATTGGGTATTTTATGGATATCAGGAGACGCGCCACACAAAACTTCATAGTTTGTGCGACGATTGGAATACTGTCATGACGCCCAGAGCAAAGCGTATCACTTGAAGCCTGACAACCTAAGGCAGTGAAGCGGCGTGAGGAGCTACATTCCTATGGTTTCCAGTGTCCCAAACAGGTTCATACGCCAATCGTTCCGTTCGGATTCTGGAGAGCATATACACTACAGGGTAAGAATCTGGGTTTTGCAGCTCCTCTAGACAGACCTGCATGTCGTCCACCAGTTCGGTTGTAAGCACCAGATATTTACATTTGTCCTTTCACTTTTATGAGGGACAATAATAGTGAACAGGAATTATCTGGCAGAGTCAAGAAGTTGCGACTACCTTGATTGTGTGCATACAGTAATATTTTTACAGTGTCGTAAATACATCTGATTTTAACTGCTTTCATTAATATCACAACACGATATTTTTACTGCATCGTTTATAGAATTATTTCACATGCAGTTTCGTGTAGGCTTCAAAAAAATCCAGCTGTGTAAACTTTCAACCTCATACGGGATCGAACTCAAGGCCTTTAGACGATGCGCAGATGGATTTTGAACCGACTGACTGGTTTCAACATAGAACTTTGAACCGATGTGCAGCAGTTTGAGTCTCCACACTCCATGTAGCACACAAAGTAAGAGAAGTAAAAGGAAATGCGAAATAGTGATAGTAAACAGAGATATGAGGCAAAAAGAATATTAATATCGAAGAAGGACATAGTTTTATTGGGTATTATAAGTCAGAAGGAGTGGATGCATCTGCACTAGCCATGAAGAACGATGGCTTTGTGCCATATCACCAATTGTCTCTACACATTGTTTTTTACGATCGCTAGGGTCCCAACCAGTCAGAAAGTTTACACCTTCCTACGTGACTCGCTTAAACTGTTATGGATTTCATTGACTGATGAAGCCATGTTTTGGTTTGACTACCACTGACTCTTTTCCAGTCGGATCATATGTCAGCTAACATTGCTCATCGAGGAAGGCGATCGATGGCCACGCATGCATGCATATCTCCTAACCATCTCAATCGATGTGACTTCCCATCCTCGTTTATTGATTTCACCTCCTTACCTAGCACTTGACCGAGGCCTAACCTCAGTATTGCTCACCTTATTATACCACTTCACACGGGAGATAGAACTCAGACAGCAATGATCAAAGACAGCTAGCCGGCCTTTTCATGTCATCCATTCTCAATGCCCAGGTCTCACAGACATAAGGGAGGACGGAGCGAATTGCTGAGCAGTACACACACCCTATGGTCGACAGTCGGATATGACGTCTACGGCAGAGACGGCGTAAACTGGCATAAGAGAATCGAGCCTTCTGTATTCGAGCTGAATCTGCAGGGTCCCAAACTATAGGACGAAGCAGTTGTCCAGTATAGTACTCCCTAGTTTTCAATAGTTTCCTGAATGAAGTCAGTTTGCCACCTAACTTGGAAATGAATACACTTTATAGAGCTGCAGAAGAAACAATAGGACAATAAAACCACAGACTTACTTTCCCTGGATAACAAGCAAGTGTCCCGCGTAGATCAAAAATATAATTTGACCATTCACTTGTAGACATTTTTTGTAACGATGACAACTGCATCACATCAATTACTGGAGTCAATGCTTCTTTTAACCAATACTGCATTATCACATGGACTGGTAATAATTCACCAATTGTATCGTTATTACTTTCAGTACTATCATTAACACAGTTAGCAATTGAATCATCTAACTCAGGATTGTGTTGCATTGAACTGTCATTATCAGTAGTCGCAGTAGTGGTATTAATCATAGAAAGGCCTGTTACATCAGCAGCTGACAATAAACGTATAAATCGTGGCATTAAATGTATCACACTACAACTTTCTTCAGCTGCATATGGTTTCCAGCTTAAATCCAACAATTCTAATAACTCAATAAATATATACTGAGTAAGGAGATCTAATGAACGAACAGTAAAATACTACAAAAATAGAGAAAAGCAGAAACGAAGAAAAAAAAGCAAGTCGTTAGACAGTTTAAGGATAGATTTCTTTTATGTAAGAGAACCTGCAGACCTTATTTGCTTTTAAATCAATTTTGACGCTTCCGTTGATTGATTGAACTGAAAACGCTCAGCCTGTTATCTGCTCAGCTCCTAGTACGGATGCTTCAACAGTGTCCGAGGATTAACCTGAAGTAACATGCCAAACAACACTATGGTCTAATCAGTCAACGGAAGAGTCAAAATTCATTTCAAAATAAATCAAAACGAATGCCCCTTACATAAGAGGTGATTCTTGTGGTTCACTTGGTCAATCGGATGATGCTTTGACGTTGGAGACGATGAGTGCAGATTCAGAATCCCAGTGGAAACACTATCACTCACTGGGAAATACAAGTAAATAAATAATTTTTCCTTCACGCTCCTAGTGGAACATAGGGCTTTAAGCTAGTGGCTTGAAGTAGCAGTGTTTATTTTACAGGATGGGGTTGCTAGCCTCATGCCCAACCTTTCCTCTTTACCAGCATTGCTTCTGGCTTAGCGAGGCAAAGGAGTGCGTCGGCCGGGGATTGAACCCCGGACTAAATGCGTAGTCGGTGAGCATTCTACCGCTGCGCCACCGACGCACGAAAGAAGCATACGAAACTGTATATCAGCAAGAATGAGTGTAGCGGATTAACTGCGAAACTTAGCAAAGTAGTCTTACGTAATCTAAAAGTCACCAAGTGAAGATGATGATTGTCATTAGAATAGTAAACGCTTAAAAATTACGAAAATTGCTCACAAGAATAAGAGAGATTCAGAATATTTTTCTATTATTCCCTTTGAGTTTCAAATCGAAAATTGGGCTTTACTAGCACATCTGTATTTCATCCTGTTCCCTGAAGTCCCTTTTAGCTAGTAGTTCCACTATTATCCATAAGCGCTTTCATTTCCTCCTCACACGATCGCCTTCATGTCACTCTCGGTACGATGTCCAACTGGTTGTTTGACATTCGGGTTCCACCCCAGGTGTATGATATCACCAACAGTCTCTTCAGCATGTATCCAATCCAATCCATTTCTATTCTCTTCGGAATATTTGTTCAACAACAGATTATCGATTGGTTTGTTCTCAGGATTTAATGTTGCTAATTCCTTCTGGCCATTTGATCTTCAATATGGAGCCAGAGAAGGCAGCTGTTGATAAATGTATGCAGTCTATTAACAATGCATCACAAGGTCACTCTCTTATAGACAAAAGAGTGCCGGTTAAAAGATTCTGTGGACCTCTTTAAACAGAATCATTTAGTTTGCCTGATATTGTACAATCTGCGTTTCGTCAGAAGCATAGGTTAATTAGATTGCGGGAGCATCTAGGACTAAGACAGAGATGAAGGAGTGATGAACACCACTCAAAGTAGATATTACACATGATATCTAACTATCCAGACCGACGGGAAGTAATCGTTAAGCCAAAAACTAAACTCAACTGAGAGGAGAGAAAAATACCGGCTAATACTGGATTGCATATTGCTTAAATAGTAAAGAGAAAACAAGACGAAAAATCAAAGTACTCATTAAGTATTAACAATACCTCACAAGTTAAATAAAAAACACTTACCTGTGGGAATTCTTCTTCAATTGGAAAAATATCATACAGTAAGTTGAAACGGAGAACTTGACATGGAGGCGGCTGTAATACAAATAGATTGGATAAAACATACATATACATACACACACACACACACACAAATATATACAAGTGAACAATATTTATACGATTATTGTAAACGCCTCACTGGAGGAAATCCGTCTTAAAACAGATGATAAATGGTAGTGTTATCACTTAGATATTCAAAAACGATACCAATTTATGTGACATACTAAACTGCCCACCCACATACTGTGATTTCTACATGTGTACAATGATGACGACTAATTACCCTGGAGAGAAGCTTTACTGTATCTCAAACTAGACAAATAAAATGAAATTGTAAGAGTGTACTGCTGTCCATTTACTAACAATGCGGTTAGTTGAACAGCACGAATTTTACACCTTGTTAAAGAGAGATATAAGCATTATGAGAAATAGAATTAGCTAGTAAATGTGAATTTACAAATGAAAAACAAAGTCTGCTGTCAGCAGTACATTTTGTATTTACAAACCTGTCACTTCTCATTGACTGCTGAATTTCAACATAGAACTCTGCACAGAAGTGCAACAATTTAAGTTATTACACTCCATGTACAATACAAAAATAGAGAAGAGACAGAAAAAAGGTATTCAAGAAAAGGTAACTGAAAATGAACTAAGGATTGTACATGATACATTGATTGAAAACAGCTATCCAGACAAATTCATCAGGCAGCATATGACTAAGAAAGGTGAAAGGACTAGTGGCTATCCTTAAACAAGAAGCCTTTATATATACAACGGCAATTCAACGGGCGATATGGCTAGCAAAATAATTACAAAGTTAAGAAAATCAATTCAAAGAACTTTTAATGCTGGCAAACCACAAGTCTAATTTTCTACACCACCGACGGTGATTCCTCAATTGAAAGACGAAGTACCTAGACTATCCACTTCTATTTGTATCTACTAATTCAACTGCGCTCGTGGTGGAGCGAGTTATATTGGCCGTTGTTCTAGGAACTTGATTTTTCGTGCTCTTTTGGGAACATCTAACAGTGTGGCTAGATACAGATGTAGTAAAAACCATCAACAGTTCGGTATTAGATAACCTGGTCCAAACCGGCCACAAAGCCAACATTGACGAATCCTTCTCTTTCATCTACCAGGTAACAAATAAATTGCCAAAAACACCCAGGTAGCACGTACTACACACAGCAGAGGCTATAGCGATTCGCCTTACATAATATCAGGAAAAAAGAATACTAACATGGGAAAAAATGAGGAATTCGCAGACATAGAGGATTACAGAGGATGAACGCATCTGAGTCACCAGGAAAAATTTTGAGCCATATCACCAATAGTCTCAAGTCATTGTATCTTGACAAGCCGACGACCCCAAACCAGGTTGCCGAAACCTCACTACATGACTGGCTCAAACCAACTGTCGAAGACTTCATAGACCTATTCAGTTTTGGTTTGACCATCCCCTTCTTAATTCGAATCTAATCTTATGTCAGCTAAGATTTTTCGTCGAGGAAGGTGATGGTTAGGCATGCGTCACATGCCTGCTAGCCACGTCAATCGATTCAGGTTCGCAGCCGCACAGAATTACTTACCCTACTCATCTAACACTCAACACTTAACCTCAATATTACTCACCATACTATACCACCTAACACAAGAAATAGAACCCAAACATGTTATGAGAGATAGCTTGCCTTTTCGTATCCCTCACCTTGGATGGCCATGTCTGAAAGCCATAAATAAGGACAGAATTAACCGCTGCACCGCACACACGTCGTTTGATCGATAGCCAGTCGAATATTGCGTCCACGCCAGAAATAATGCAAGCTGTCAAATGGCACATGAACCTTTTTGTATTCATAGTGAGATTGCGTCAGTGACCAGGCCGTTGAGGCTGATGCAACCTCACAAATAAGTGGAATGGTCGACATGCTCCACTACTTTACTCCCTATCTTTAAGCTGGGAGCCTATATAGTCCAGTCCTGCAGCATCATCTTGCATACGATAGGAGTGAATCGCATGACATATTCGAAGACTTCTGTTCATGGTATTGAGAAAACACTGCATTTTGTTAGTGTCTCCACCAAGGAGAACAACCTCATCCTCATATTCTAAATCAACCAGAGTGTCTCCCGGTAACAATTCAATCCCTAAGTCAGTTAGGGTCGATTCCATTAGTACATTTATGCTGAAATTAAACAAAAATGGGGACGGTGGGCATCCCTAACAGACATCACTGGTTGTCACCACTTCAGGTGACGACTCTTCGTAAGGTCTTCGTAAGGCAGCTGAATGAGTACGAGTAGACTGGCCTACTTTTTTCACCTCCTAATAACACTCACTACACGGGTAATGGGAGAATTACAAAGGAAAATAAATGCAGATGTTATGTAAGTACACTAACGATATCTATGCCACGAACACAATAATAACACCAAATTGTTGATGAGATTCATTACAGAACGACACGACAGTAATCAGTAAAAGCTACCTAGACCTCAAATTGGTCAACCCGACCAAAAGCTGCTACCTTGACGTGGTGGTCGGGCTTGAACACCGCAATGACCTAATCAAGCTATACTGGCTGAGACTTATGTCTCTTGAGGTCTACCATGCCAGGCAGGTTGTTTGGATAGCGGTTAAACAAAAAGCAGCTACCCAATCCAACATCATGTCCAATACAAAATCACAAAATTTCATGCCGGATCGGCCGTGGCCCGGATTAACAACGACCGCGCTTCCTGCTGCCGTGTCACAGGGCAGGAGTGATAAGTATGCTACTGAGACACACCAAACAAAAAGAACGAACAAAAACAGGCCGCGTGTGACCGGCCTCAAGCAGTTGTCCCCTGGGCTCTGCGGTCACGCAACCAACTTCCACGGTGTGGGCAGCCGGGAAGTAACAATCGCCCTCACAATCCGAAATGCACACGAAACCTCTCTATTACTCACTCATCTTTGTCTTCATCTTCATCTCTATCATCTTGCCTTCCTTCCACTGATGCAACTCCTCGACTTGATAGCTCTCCACTTCCTCTCCACTCTGCGTCCACTAAAAACGATGGAAGCCAAAAAACCACCACCGACAGCCTCTTAAAGCCGCGCCACCAATTTCATATAGGAGCTCTTAATGTTAGGACACTTTGCCAAATAGGACAACAAGCATCACTAGCCAAGACCCTGGCATCACGAGCCATTGATGTATGCTGTGTTTCAGAAACACGCATACAAGACCCAAGTGTGGTTATTCACCTAACCCCACCTGGCCAACAGGTTGAATCTGCAAAATTCACCTTCAGGGTGTCAGCTAGTTCACGAGGATTAGCTGGCGTAGGGATAGCTTTGAGTACTAGGGCAGAAAAGACATTGCTTGACTGGATCCCGGTAGATAGCCGAATGTGTGCTGTCCGCCTGAACGGATCAGTAAGAAGGAGAAAGGACTGCACTACTCGCCGATGCCTTTTCGTAATCTCCGCCTACGCCCCCACTGACTGCAGTTCAGATGAAACGAAGGATGAGTTCTACCAAAAGCTGTCTAGTTTGGTGGAAAGGCTAAACGCTCAGACATAGTCGTTCTAGCTGGTGACTTTAACGCTCAAGTAGGGAAATTGTGTCAATCTGAGAAGGATGTCGGTGGCACCTATGGAGTTCCGTGCCAGCGAACCGACAACGGTGACCGTCTCCTACAGTTCTGCTCTGATAATCATTTGTTTCTTGTAAGCACTAACTTCAAACACAAGGAGAGACACTGTTTGACTTGGAGACCCCCTTCATCAAACCAACGCTGGACACAAATAGACCACATAGCAATAAGCTATCGTTGGCGTGGGTCGGTAGGAGATTGTCGCTCCTTCTGGAACACGTGCGTAGATACCGACCATGCACTGGTCCGCGCTCGGGTGTGCTTACGACTGAACGGACGTAGGAAACAGCTGGCGGTAAAACCATCACGTCCCCAGCTCGATCAGGAAACTAAATCCGTATTTGAGGAAGAACTAGCTAAACACATATCTGTGTTCGACAGCTGTGCTCACCCTGAAGAAGCTTGGAAAAATATCCAGGCAGCCATAGATACAGCTGTAAAAGCTGTGAATAAGGTAAACCCAAAGGTGAGTAAAAACCACTGGATCTCCACCGCCTCATCCGAACTGATAGATGCTAGAAGACTTATTCCGGCGAGCTCCGAATTCAATGAGGAGCGAAAGCTGCACAAGAGGAAACTTACGAAAAGTCTCCGCAAGGACCGTGAACAGTGGTGGGCGACAAAAGCCAAAGAGATGGAGAAAGCTTCGAGGATAGGCAACACCAGGCAACTCTTTAGACTCATCAGGGAAACGGGTGGGAGAAGACAAATCATTAGTGAGACAATCTCGGAAAAAAATGGCACTATAATTAGCTCCCAGGATAGACGACTGGATCGTTGGAAAGAGCATTATGAGGAGCAGTTTAATTGGCCCACAGCCACGCTCAACCTTCCGAGCATCCAACACCTCCCTGAATGGGATATAGACACAGGTCCTCCGTCACTAACTGAGGTTACTAAAGCTGTCACCAATCTGAAACTAGGCAAAGCAGCGGGACCTGATGGAATGACTCCAGAGGTATTTAAGTACGGTGGAGACAGCTTACTGTCTGCATTAACTGAGGTACTAGGCAGCGTCTGGGAATCAGAAGAAGTCCCATCGGGTTGGTGTAAGTCACTGATTATCCCCATATACAAGAAGGGAGACAAGTCTTCCTGTGATAATCACAGAGGGATTAGCTTGACTAATATAGTATCTAAAGTCTTAGGCTCAATAATCATGCGTAGACTGAGTGGTGCTCGGGAGGCACAAACACGAGAGAGCCAGGCAGGCTTTAGACCAGGAAGAGGGTGTATTGATCATATCTTCACCCTCCGACAGATTCTAGAACATAGGCATTCCTACCGGCGTCCAACAGTCATTATATTTCTTGACCTAAAGGCAGCATTCGACTCTGTCGATCGAGAAGTTCTCTGGAGATGCTTGGCTGTAAAGGGAATTCCGAGAAAATATATTGCACTGATTAAGGCACTCTACTCGTACTCATACAGCCAGGTGAGGGCTTACGGCGAGCTGTCATCTGAACTGATGACGACCAGTGGTGTCCGTCAAGGATGCCCATTATCCCCTTTTCTATTCAACTTCATCATAGATGTGTTAATGGACTTAACCCTAGGTGACTTCAGCGACTCAGGGATTGACTTGCTACCAGGGAATAATCTCGTTGACTTGGAATATGCAGACGATATAGTCCTTCTAGGCGAAGACGCTGACGAAATGCAGAGTCTTCTAAACACCTTGAGCCGCAATCTACGAATGTTTGGCATGCGATTCGCTCCCGCCAAATGCAAGATGATGTTACAGGACTGGACTACATCGACGCCTAGTTTAAAAATAGGAAGTGAAGTGGTAGAGCACGTTGACCGCTTCACTTATTTGGGAAGTACCATCAGCCCCAACGGGTTGATCTCTGACGAAATCTCAGCACGAATACAAGGGGCTCGTTTCGCATTTGCCAGTTTACGCCGACTCTGGCGTAGACGAGATGTTCGACTATCGACCAAAGGGCGGGTGTACTGCTCATCAGTCCGCTCCGTCCTCCTTTATGGTTGTGAGACCTGGCCACTGAGAGTGGAAGACATGAAAAGACTAGCTGTCTTTGATCATAGGTGCCTGCGTTCTATTTCCCGTGTAAAGTGGCATAATAAGGTGAGCAACATTGAGGTTAGGCGTAGAGTTCTAGGTAAACAGGGGAAATCAATCGACGAAGTCGTGAAGCTACAAAGACTGAGATGGTTAGGACATGTGTTACGTATGCCAAGCCATCGCCTCCCTCGACGAGCAATGTTAGCGGATATAGGGTCAGGCTGGAAAAAAGCTAGCGGCGGTCAAACAAAAACTTGGCATCAGTCAATGAAATCCACAACAGTTGGTCTAAGCCACGTAGGAAGGTGTAGACTTCCAGGCTGGGGTCCTCGGGACGGTAAAAATCTATGGTTGGAAACAATTGGTGACATGGCTCAAAATCGTTCTCAGTGGCGCAGATGCATCCACTCCCTGTGACTTATGATCTTCAATGAAACTGTTTTGTTTTTCTTTATTACTCCTTTGTCTCACACCTCTGCTCACTGTTTCTATTATGCTTTTCTTGTACTTTCTTCTCTTGCTTCGCGTGCTACACGGAATGTGGCGACTTGAACTTCCGCACATTTGTGCAAAGTTCTATGTCGAAAACAGACAGACAGACAGACAAATTGGTCAACCACTTAACCACTGTAGCCGCTAGTGTGTGAGATTTCAAACAATAGTAAGAGAGAAAAGCTGGAGATAGATAAACAAGGTGAAATTCTCATTATAATTTTGAGAACCTTTAATTTCGAACGAATGAAGAAAAAAAGTAAGATCCGTGTACAACAATTATCAGTGATACTCGCCGAAGACATTGGCTAGCGGTCGCGCTATGTCATGAATTGGCAGAAGTTAGAATTCAAGGACCATTGGATCGGGTCCCAGTGGCTTAATGGTATACGAGCTCGCCTTGTAACCGGAAGGTCCTGGGTTCGAATCCCGGTGGGTGCGTACTGCTGAAGAGTCCCAAACTAGGACGAAACAGCTACCCAGTACCCCCAGGTTTTCCAATGGTTCTCTAACTAATGTCAGCTCATGATGAAATCCTGAAATTATCAGTGAGTTATCCCACATATATACGTTTAGGTTAATTACCAGTTTCATCAATAAACAGTGAACCATCGGTAGGGAGAAAAACAGCCATCCTTATTTCTTGTTCAATTATTGGGAAATTCAAATGACAGGATAATAATGAAAACGACTTGCTACGTCTTTTGTGATCAATAACAACCAAATGATCAGCCAAACTCTTTGCATCAACTAAGTGTGAACAGAATTGATTCCGATGAACAGTTAGCTTCACATTATAAGTAGTATTAAGGTGGGGTGGAGAATTTCAGATTGGACTGTCTAATAGCTTGATAAGCATGCAAACTGAATGCAGAATTTATTGTAAAATTCATCATATCGAACTGCACTGTCAACTGAAGTTACGAAGAATTTTTTTCTAGTTGAGAAAAGTGAACCATTGATCGTCGGGATAGAATTCCGCGGAAATGTCAAAGTTAGGCGTGTTAAATTAGAGACTGATGTGAAACCAAAAATGACAAGATGGAAACTTTGGACGACATGAATAACGGCAGGTAGTCAGTCAGTGTATGTACATAATCTAGGCAGTTTATTCAACTATATAGAGTACATGATTCTACTGTCGTTTATTCATCCTTAAAGTTCATATGCTTTTTTAACGATATAGTAAGTAATGAGTGAATACGTTGGACAGACGAGAAGACCCTGAAAAATCTGGACTCGACGAATGATTCATGTATGTCACACATATTTGAATACCTAAAGGCGAAAACTAACAAGTTGGCAGAAGAAGCAGTGAAGAAAGGCATCCAAGTGAACATAGGGAAGATATCTAGCCAACAACAAGCACCGATCTAAACGAAGTAACCTTTATCACTTACCTAGTCAGCATCATTTCAATTACAGACAGAACACATGAAGAGGAGAAGCGAGACAGGCCTTCATTAATCTGAAATCAGTAAGGAAATTTACTGCACACCGAATAAAGGACAAGATTCGGATCCTCAACACTTTATATCAGTTCAGTGAATGTTCTATACGCTTCAGAGACATCAACATATGCTTTCGCTCAATACTCATGATCAGATGGCCAGCCAGAAGGCGTAAGCAACAAGGAACTCTGACAACTGAGACTCTATCATCAAATAAATGCGGGCGGATCGGACAAACGATAAGGAGGTTGTTCAGTGACATCACACACCACGTCCTAGAGCGGAAACCGAATGGGAAAAGACGAGTGGGGCATAGGTCTGAAGGTGACATGGAGGAGATTGTCTGAGGTGTTTTAAGCCCTATATTCTATTCGGAAACCAAGCGAATAATAATAATATTAATAATAATGGGAGAAATGAATACATTCAGCTGTTTAACTGCTTACTTTATCCAATTTGTAATGTAGGAATAATGAGAACCCATCAAATATATAATCATTCCCATTGTGTGTTACTTTTGATGGGATTGGTTGAACAAAATTAGTTGTTGGAGAAATAATTATCCGATAATGATACAGTCGGTCACGATTATTCGACTCTGGGATACATGGCGGTATAGGCTAAAAGTAAAACAAAGGAAAGGGGTGGTATCAAGTAAAGTAGACAACTTCGACACATACAATTTTGATATTAATATATAATAAACAATCAATTACCAGTTGAAATATTATTTATTGGATTTCGTATAATGTGTTACATGTGGACGTGGTTTCCTTTCGTCACAAAAAAAGCTTCCGATACAAAAGAAGTTTAAAAGCTGGACAATAACAAATAATTCAGGACCCAACCAAAAAGTTCTACATATCCCGCCTTATACTGACAAGAAGTTCCACAGAAAATGAAACACTATATCGATACTGAATGATATTTATGATTTAACCGGTTAATAACAACTTGTGACGAAGATAGTCTTCTATACAGGGCAAGGAATCTGACAACTGACGCAAGGATATATAAACAAAACAAAAGTTTACACCCGGGTGGTAAACACCCACACTAAAGGAACAAGCGAAAGATTTCCACCTTTTCAACTGTCCACGATGCTATAGTTCGACACTAATCACATCAACCAGTGGTGCTTGGTAGTTGGGTCGAAGTGATTTAAAACACACAATGCTCATTTGGGACCCCATCTCAACAGTGATATGCCTTATTCGACACAGCTCAGCGAGCCAAATCAGTTGATGAAACCACCCGAATCACCGATGACATTCACTGGCGGTAGCGATATAAAACACGGAGTGATGGAAGCTGGAAATGATGGACCATTGGGTTCCGTCCCAGTGACACAGTGGCATACGAACCCGCTTTGTAACATGAAGTTCCTGGGTTCAATCCCTTGCGAACTGATGTATGTATACTGCTGATGAAACCCAAGCAAGGCCAAAACAGTAGCCCAGTACCTCTTGGTTTTCAATGGTTCTCTAAATGAAGTCAATTCATGATCAGTTTTAAATTCAGTTAGGTGAGTCAGGTCCCCTACCCAGATTAAGCTACCCAATTCATTTAAAAGTGAGTGGTTTTTCTCTCTTTAATTTTATGCTAATAGATTAGCGATTCAATGACTGAGATATGAATTACCAAACAGCAAGAGGAACAAGTTCACTTGCGCTATGTACAGGTAAGGTTTATTGATTTATGCTCATGACTTTTAGCTAATGGATGATGCGTCTCAAAATTCATTCCAGTTGTACTGGACAGTTGGATAATCGCACAGAACCCATATACTTGCACACAAAAAGTGCATTTTTTTATTACAGCTTGATTCCACACTCTATTTTTGGTACAAGTATGGAATTTTCAGCATGTGATATCGGTAGCCCAAATTTTGCAGGCCGACCACAGATATTAGGTGTGAGCCGGCAGGGGATCAAACCTCGGACCATGTGCATAGTCGGCGAGAGTCCCAACCACTGTGCCAGCGACGCACACAACCATATGACAACCATACTGCCTAACTAACTAGAATAAGATAGACGGAGTCAATTTGAACACATGATCAATTGAGTAAACACTTTATTATTAATAGTAAAAGTGAAATCAAAAATAAAGCAGTCATTATAACCACCTGCTCTCCTTCATATTGATTATGCAATGGTCCTATACGATATTTTGGCTTGCAAGAACACGCTGGACCATCATTGAATTCATTAGCTTCATTATGCCATATATCAGGATGTAATCGATTAGGATGTTCAACTTTGTAAGCAACTTCACGTTGTTGTCTAATACTGCGTTGACCAATTGAATGGCCATTGACTGTTTGTGAAATACAGTTTAACATAGAATTGTTTAATTTACACTTGCTTTCAGAATTGAATGGAATGGTTTTACTTTTACGTCCACGACGAGACTGAAGTGTATTTCATCATTATATAGACGCGTTACAAAATGGAAAAGAAAACAGACAACATAGCTTAACAATAAACAGTATGGTTAGTTAATAAGCAAAAAGTTAAGCATAAAATGCATCCCAATATTATTATTGCTATTAAAATACAAATTTCATAGTTTGTGCGCTGACTAGGATACTGCCAGGACGCTCGGACCGAAGTAGATGGTTGTACCTAGGCCTGATACACAAGACAATGGAATAGTGTCAGGAGCTACGTTCACATGGTTTCCGGTGTCCCAAATAGGTTCATACGTCATTCGGTCTTTTCGGTTTCTGGAGGCCATGTATATCATAGTTTTGCAGCCTGGATTTACCAGCTCTCCTGACTAGACCTGTATCTCCACCAGTCCGCTTCCAAGCACCAGACGTTCAAATTCACCTTTTCAATTCTGTGAGAAACCCCCTTGTCGTGTGTAGGCAGTGAATAGGACCTACCTGGCAGCGGATATGAACGTATGACCACATGATAGCATTTTGAGAGGAAGACCAAAGTCTACCCGGTCGTTTATCCACCCCACTATTATGAAACTGATAAATATAAAAGCACGGAGAGTATATAAGCTGCGCTTTACTACTTTATACGAGGCATTGGTAAAGGTTAAACTAAAAACTCATACATAAAGGTTTCAATCTGCGATCCTCCAAGAAGATTCTTAGATATAATAACCACTTTTTTTATTGAAAATAGTGTAAAGTTTAAATATACTATGAGTAGAATGGATTCACTAGTTAAGAATACCTTTGTTTTAAATGCATTTAAACGCATCTCTTCTGAACCTTCTTCATGATCGCTCCCATCGACTAAATCATCATTTTCATCAAGATTGCCATCAGAATCGATATTATCCAGTAGGGAATTCCCAGTATTACTATCTCGAGATGACTTCTTTGATTTATGTAGATGAGAAGCACGAGAATTACGTCGGTGATCTGTTAAAAAATAAAAATACACATACATACCACCAACACCGTGGCTAATAAACCATTCTTAAATAATCTATTAGGCCACCAATCGAAAAAGCCTAGGAGTAGAGACATCGAAAATGCATAAACAGCTAGTATATCTATAACAGTCCTACGGTAGGGTCAATCGTGAAGCCGAATAGCTTAAAAGTTATGTCTATAACTGCGGTAGTGGGTAATGGGGGTTCGAAAATCGATGGGGGGACCATTTCTTTTAAGGTTGTACATACACCTTGCTGGCGAGCGCTAAGAAGCGCGAAACATACTGCCGCGACCTCCTACAGATTGCCTCTCACCATCTAACATCAATTCACAGTGCTTTCGGTTCAGGGGGGAACATAGAGCTTCAGCCAGCACGTTGTCATTTCACTATGCTTTTGCAGTGTTTTTTGCCGAACTCCATGATTATCTATGAGCTTTCATTCTTCTTCAAACAGTCTGCTCCATGTCACCCTCAGACTAAGCTTAACTCGTTGTTTCCCATTCGGGTACCATAGTAATAGTAATAATTTGTTTATTAGCGCACGCCACTGAACAACAAACAGTACATGTTAAAATTACTAAAATAACTGAGTTTTCTTTCAAGACTTTCGGTGGACCTTAGTTACAGAAGACTGTGTCCCTTCAGATTTCCATGAATCTTTTGTAAAGTTGTTACATACAGAAAAACATCCAAAGGTTTCCTGATGTAGAGATTAATAGTTAGCTTGGCGATGGAACTCCTACCGGCCACTCACGTTGTCCGGGGTTTGATTCCAGGTGAATGCACTCTCAAACCTTGCCTAACGGGCAGTATGTCCAGAAAAAGGGAAGGTTGGCTGTAAGGCTGATAACCTAACCCCGTTAAAGCAATACAAGAACTACTGAGACTTCAAATTTTAGAAAGCTTGAAACTCCATATCCCACTAGAAACCCATATCGAATGAAACAAAACAAGCGAGCAGCAGACAGTAGAAACAACTTATTATCGACTAACCACTTCGCATGAATCTCTATCTGCTTTCCCATTGAAATGAAGCACAACAAGTTATTGCAGAATTGGCGAAAATAGGAAATTACCTAGCTTATATAAAAGAAATCACTCACCACTATCTGAAAGTACTGGACGCTCAGGAGGCTGTCTCACTGGATCATTTACAGTAGCACGATGACGTCTAGCGATCACTTCATTCTCAAATTGATTCTCTAAATCTATAAGTTTTTGAGTAGCTACATACGATCCAGTCTAGATGAATAACAAAACATTAGAAAATTTATTATTATTGTTGTTTATATTACTATAACTATTATTGATATTATTATTATTAAACGGACGAAAATAAAACACTGGGAAGACTAAATCACATCATTTCGTACACTCATCGCCCTAAAAGCGATTACTAGATAAGTCTTGCCTTAATCAGATCAGTTCGTATGCTACCAAAGTCATATATAAAATACAGCAGTTCCAGTTGGCCCATAATGAAAACGCGAAGAAAAATAAAAAGGATTAAAACATGACGATACTATGATCTACAAGTATATATCAAGCGGTAGAAAGAAATCAATGAAGACTAGAGAAGGTATTCAGAATATCTGTGATAAGAACTGAATTAATCACTGATTATCACCATCTTGAAGACGACAGTCAGTAAACCTACATGACAGAGCACAGAAGGGTAGTCAAACCACGACTTCAACTCCATAGACTCTGAAAAAGCCATCGACAGCGTTGACCATGAAGTAGTCTGGAGACTACTTCAACACTATGAAGTGTCCCAAATCGTTATCAATCTCAGGGAAACGTTACGTGTCAAGTGATGCAAAATGAAATGAAAAACTCAGAGAAGCCTTTGGAAGTGAAGTCAGGAGTACAAGGCTAATTACTGTCACAGATGTTATTCCTGATTGTGGTGAACTAGATTAGGGGGCACTTCGTGAGTAGGGAAAGAGAAGAAGGGAATACGTTGGATAGATAGGAAGACTCCAGAAGATTCTTGTCTAATGTTTCACAAACTGGCAGAAGAAGCAGCAAAGACACAACTTCAGGCGAACATAGAGAAGACGGAGGTGATGAAAGCAACCAACTGAAAACAACAAGCACCAACCACCATTAACGGGAATAAATTTGGAAGAAGTTACCTGCTTCACTTATCTAAGAAGCATCGTTTCAACTTCATGCAACAGCACGGAAGAGGACGTCAAAACCAGAATTGGGAAGGGAAGATACACTTTTATCACTCTGAAATAAGTTTGGAAATCTTTTGAACTTAGCATAAAGAACAGAATTCGAACTTTCAGCACGAATGTCAAGTTAGTAAGTTCTTCAAAATGGTTCAGAGACTTGGCATGTTACCAAAAGTATTTCGAACATGGCTGCAAACTTTTACCAACAAGTGCTCCATATTGAATATTAAATGGCTAGAAAGAATTAGCGACAAGAAACTCTGGAAACGACCTAACCACGAACCTATTGCTCAACAAATATTCCGAAGAAATTGGAGGTGGATCGGACATAGACTGAGGAGACCATCGAATGATATCACGAACCTGGTCATCACTCGAATGGAAACCACGCGGGAAAAGACGAGTTGGGAATCGGTCCTAGGTTAACATGGAGGAGATGAGAGACTATGTGCAATCCTGGGGCCCAGTTGAAGAGGACTGCAGAGAACAAGACAAAATGTACACGTGCTGTATGAAGCCCCATGTACTATTTGGAACCCAAGGGAATGATAATAATTGCTCCGTGAATGGAACCATTATTCAATGGTGTTATAGACTGATGTTATTTTTTGACCTGACTGCTTACAAATTATCAGCTTGAACCTACTTTAGCTAACAACTACTCTTTTACCAAGGTGATGGCTAAGCATTCATACCACATGTTTCAGAAAATCGTAATGTGTTCTAGAAGTACAACTTCAAGCTAGCATGGAAAATGATTACTACATGAAACGCTACTCATTCGACAATTGGTATGTCAACTTAATGCATTACACGATGCATTAATACGACAAATAAGATTAATTACATTTTATGTATGAAAAATAAAGCCTTAATTTATTATCTCAAAAAAGTACAACGCCAGTACGCAACAGAGTCAAACACTTACGTCAATCTCTTATTAACGCCTCCTGGCTAATAAATTAGGATTTGAACTAATGTCCCTTTAAATGACAATCGGCTACTTACTTATGCTGACGAGTCAGGTACAATGAAGATAAGTAAAATAAGATAATTTTGGCAAAATAATACATTTAATATTATACAGCTTTTAGATGATAGCTTTTGGATGAGTGAGGTGCAACTTGAATATTTGATTGAACGAACTGTAGATTACGAAAAATTATACCTTTATTATACCATCATATATACACACACACGAAATTCTACCAGTAATAAAATGCAGTGATCAATTTTGTCGAGTTAAATGAGATTAAATACTAATGTATCTTAGACTAATAGTTGCTACCTTGACGTGATCGTCGGGTTTGGATATCGTAATGACCCAACGAGCTCAATCGTTTCCAGAATTAATATTCCTACAGGTCCCATTATGACAGGAAGGTTGTTTGGATAGCGGTTAGGCTAAAAGCAGTTGCCATTATAAGGTAAGTCATGAAGTCGTACTGCTGCAGAATAGGGGATGTAACAGCAAGTGACTAGCAAGCCGACAATGCTACTACTTAGGTCTGGAGAGGAGGCATAGAAACTGTTGGCCCCGAAAGTTGTACATCCTGACTTACATTGAGGTGATAAGGTTTGAATACAGACACAACGCCAAAATCCACTTTGAACAGGCCATGTATGTGACAGTCCCGAAGCAGTTGACGCCTGGGCTCTACAGTCACGCAATACGAATACTATCTGTTTCAGGTACTTAAGGGAGAAGCCAAATTCCACGGTGTGCGTAGCCATCCGCATACGCTTCCAGTCAGATAACGTGAAAGTAGGTATGAAGCTTTAGAACGCACTGAACACAACATTTAGTGTGAAGTGCAGTATCGTACGAATTAATCCTATGAATGTTCCACAATTACATAATCTAAGCAACAAAAAATCACAAATATGTAAATACTCATCATCGATTGATTAGTAGATGAACACAAAATTATACAAAGAGTTGAGATAAAAAAATGATACAATATTGGATTCTTTAAAATACATTTTAAGGAAATATAGAGCTTACAGTATCGTCAAAAGTGAAGAAATCCGGTTCTGAAGTGTATACCAGTTTTGTATATTGTAAAGGCTTCAGCTGTTTCAGTGGTGTAGAATCGGCTTTTAAGTTATTTGGCTCTGAAGTCCTGATTATTCGAAAAAATCAAAATCGTGAAGTATAATAAAATATTGTCAAATGTAATTAGAGGAATACATAACGGAAAAAGTGATGTAAACAAATATTCATCAATTTCTTCGAGACAGAGTAATTTGTAGTCCAAATTTATAATTAATATGTCAATTTACACTTTTTACATTACGCCTGTGACACTTCACAACAGTCCAGGCCCTGGTAAACCACCTGGTGGAACCGAAGGTGAGTAGACTTCAGCATTTCTGTCGAATTTCTCCGATGAGAACACGCCTACATAGCCTCTACCAGGTAAGTTCTATTCACTACCTCTACGGAACGTCGGATGTATCCTTGATGGAAGTGAAAGGGCTAAACCACAATTCTGGTGCTTACAAATGGAATGTTGGATATGTTAGTCTATCTAGGGGAACTGGAAATAACTAATTACAAACCTATGTTAGTCATGGACTCCAGAACCCGAAATAATTTAGAAGCGTCTGAACCTGTTTTGGTCGCCGGACACCATGGGAATGTAGCTCTAAACAGTGCTCTAATGCCTTGTCCATCAGACTTCAAGCCAAAGGCTCAAAGCAGGGCAGTGGTCTCTTAAGATGACCACCTGCTTCAATCCGTATGTACGGGCAGTACTCCAGTTCTTATAAAAAGTATGACTTCTAGTGTGGTGCATCTCTTGGTGTCCATAATGTACGAAGTTTGTGTTTTAATATTAACAATAACCAGCCGCAATTTTGTGTAGTATAGAATGCAGACGTATAATATTATTCTGTCCCCATAACTTCTGCTGGATAAAGTGAAAAATATTGTCATGTATTTGTGTAAATCAGGAAGTTTTTCCGAGAAAAACTATGTTGAGCAGACATACGCTGTAAAGACACAGGTAGGTCGAAATACTTATATGCTGGCTTAAGTTGTCAAGCCTCACATAAACACCGAGAAAACAAAGAAACTAGTTATAAATAACGATGTTGAAAGTGACGGAGAGTTGTGAGAATAAAAAGGAAGCTATTTGCGTTGTACGACTTTCTGTGTGACTGAAAAAGTTAAAAATTTCCCCCTGCATAAACGACGTCAAATACCTATACCGAGTTCAGCATAGGTGTTTAGAGATATTGGTAATTCAAAATAGAACCGTTACACATACCCCTTTGTTTCAGTTGATCGAGAGAATGGACGACGCCACGTGTTGCTAACTGTATTTGTTGTTGTAGGAATACACGTAAGAGTAGTAGTAGCAGTAGTAGCAGAGGAGGCAACTGTACCCACAGTATGTGCCTGGATATTGCTAGCTGGGTTACAAGTAAGCTGTGGTGAAAAGAAACATGGAGGTGGTTGATACGGATTGAATGTCCCGATGAACGGAGATGGTAGGATGCCTGGCTGAAAACCGGGAAATGTATGGTAGGGTTGTACATACTGAGTAGATAATGGGAAAACACCACCAGCTGGGTTGTAGAATGTAGAGTTTTGGAAGCCTGATGTTAACCAGGGGATTGGTTGACAGGCCGAATACGATGGACGTTGAAAGGTTGAGCACAGTCCATAAGGAGGAACCACATTTGTTGAAATCATAGGAGGAGGAGGATATGGAATAGCATTAGTTTGGAATGGTACTGCATATGGGACATTATTGAAATAATTACAGCTGGAGACTGAAAGGGCCGTAACTGCACTGCCTGTAAGACCTGTACCTATGCAAGTTGTAGGAAGTGAGCTTTGACTACACAAAGCTGACTGCAATGAACCTGTTTGAGAAGTAGGTTTTGGGTTCTCTGCAGTTGACAAGACGTAAATCGGCCCATCTGACGGAAGACTTGAGATTTCTTCAGGAGTGACGTAGATGATCCGTTTATTTGGTGACCCATGACTATCCGTCATCTACAAAAAAAACATTAGTGACCATACTATAATACTCGGTTACTGTAAGAACTGTATCACAGATCAACGTAATATCTTCAAGTAGTCTGTGATTATAAATTAGCGAAACTAAGCAATTAATCACCAATAATTAATCATACACTAAAGCGACATATAAGCGGCAACCATGTAGTATAATATTATCCCCGTAATGTTTCTAGTGCATTTTTCAACGATTTGGCAGCTTTTCTTCACTCGAATCGACTGGTTTTTCAAGGTCACTGTAGTTCTGACCCTTGTAGTTAGCTTTGCCCATTTCGGTATCCAGTCTGCTAAAGCAGCAAAACAAAATTTCGAGAAATTTGACGGTGGAGCGATGCAAACGATTGCAGGGAGTGACAGGAAAATGAGACGCTTCCTCCCCAAAAGACCCACATATTCCAATATTACGTCGAAATATCTTGAAGTATCTTACTAGGGCCGAGCATCAATTATATAATGAAAGGATTATGACGATAATCCGTAGAATCAAGAGGCATCGAAACTCCCGTCGATTACTGTAGGTCATTATAGAGTTAGCGACGCCAAAATTCATATCGTTTCTTCGGGTTACTATTAAATCAATCGACTACATTGATGGCAATCACCCCAAAGGTAACAGTTTTCAGTCTAATAAAACTATTTTAGACTTCAAAATAGCAACAACTGTATGCCAAGTGACGACATACATCTTTCTGTGCGTCGGTGGCACAGTGGTTAGGACTCTAGCCGACCATGCATATGGTCCGGGGTTCGAGCCCACGCCGACGCACACCTGATATCTATGGTCGGCCTGCCAAAATTTGGGCTACCGATATCCATGCTGAAAATTCCATACTTGTACCAAAAATACGGTGTGGAATCAAGCTGTAATCAAAAATAAAAAAAAATAAATACTTACTTAACGAGAACGGAGCGCAGTTATGCAGTGACCTTGGAATTACATTGACCGCACACTCAATATCCATGGTCCAATATCGCACTTCTTGTAAACTGTCGTGGTTTCCGGTAAACTTCTGCGGTGAAGTGCAACAATAGCGTCCAATGACCTTGAACGCATTCTAGGTGTCGTGTAGCAGCACCTATCATTATCATAGCTGAAATATCAACGCTGTTCACCGGTTAAACAGCAAATTTCACCTAGATCACGTTTATCAGTACTGTTTCGACAATAGGGGTGAGATTAGGGTTAAGATAAATAATAGGACTTGGTTAAAGATCAGGGTCATAATTAGCATTAGGATTAGGATTACGATTAGGATAAAGGTTGTAATTACGGCTAGTGTTAAGTCTAGGGTTAGGGTCAGGATTAAGGTTAGGGTTAAGACTAGAGATTGATTTGGAGTTGATGTCACTTGTTTTAATTTGTTTTAATATCCACACCTTCCTGGTAAGTAGTTGTCAGTCCTCCCGTTGGAAACCATAGTAATTCAACCAAGGGCTTTGGGGAGGATTGCACAACGGGATGAGAGAGATGAACGATCAAAAAACTGCCCACCTTCACTTACTTCAGTGAAAACATGTACAGAAGCTTGTCTTACATAGCAACTGATGCTCCTAATCATGACTGGGACGTATATTTACGTAATGTAAGGGAAAGATACCCTGTTTAATGTGTTTTCATGCATTTTCTTGTAAATATACTCCATCTTTTGTGCGAAAGTTCCTCCTTTTTGATTGGTCAGCTGAAGGTCACCGGTACGTTCACATTTCTTGAGCCTCTACTGTTTAACTTTGCCACTTCTGCTCACTTAGTCCCACCACTCAAACATTTTAGCTTTAGCTGACTCCAAAAGTAGTGCTGCTGGGATTAACTATATGTTGCTTGCATTTTACGGTGTGTTAAGACCGTCTTGTTACTGCAAATGGAGTTGATTATCTCACCAATTGGTCATCCGTTGTCAGCAACAAAAGAACAGAGATAACAACAATCCTAATTAATCAAGGTTATGCAGACTAAATGACAGAAAAAGAAATAAAGAAAATGTAAAAGCAGCTAATAAAAAATGGGGTTGATATATATATATATATATATATATATTCATGTTTAATAATAATAACAATGTGAAGGATGTAATAGTTTGAGTAATCAGGAGAGTAGGACAAGAGGGAATGTGAAGAAGTTAATCGGTAACATCAGATGTTTACCTATTAATAATGTGAGTTATTTCAAGGTGGTAGGCAGTTTGCACGCAGTCCTAATGTGACAGCATGATTGTCCGGCCTTCACTTAAAGATGTCCACGGACGGCGCAGTAGCCACGTCTGCCAGTAAAGAGATTAAGAGACGGCTAACTCACAGTGAGGAGAAATAGGAGTGCACCACTCCATATTCAATATTTTTGCAACCAAGTGTGATAGAAATTTACTTATTTAATTGGAGTAATGGAGTAAGGGAGACAGGAACCGTAGTTTCCAGTTGACAGTTAATAAAATAATGACTCCCAAATTCAGTGGTTGCAACCCCGAACTGTAGTTAAATAGTAGCATTTACAGGCTTCTGGGCGCCTCGTAAACGTAGGGCTAACAACTGGGATTCAGTGCAACGCTTTCAAACAAAACATTCCACTTTGCATCAGAGTGATTGGACGGAAAAACAGCATGAAGGTATTCAGGTACCGTTGATGTTAAAGTTCACGGAGAGTAGACCACATCTTCCGCAAATAAAGTTTCTGAACTGAACATACTGTATAAAGCAGCTATCATACCTACATAAAAATTTGACCTAGTGTCACATTTACAAATGTCCGACCGTTTTTTTGTCACAAGAAGGCCACCCACCACAGAATGATATTAGGCGTGTCTGACACACCATGGTGTAGCCATTCAAGATGCTGCCCATCTAACAATACATTATTTCAAGATACTGTCCTCTTTGTTGAAAAGAAATGGAGAGAAATCGCAGTATTCGTGGGGATTACGCAAGAAGGGCTTCAGTTAAAACACGCGGAGCACAAAGGGACTTGTGATGCACGAAAACGTACCATGTTTAATCATAAGGTTCTTACTAATACTGTTACGTCCCTGAGGAGAAATACAGTGACTATGTTGCATGCAGTTTAAGTCCAATGTTGCACCTTCAAACAATACACTTTTACTTTATATACTATTCTGCGTTTTCTGCCAATTAGACCTTTTGTGGTTCAATGGACTTTTGTGCATTTTTGTTTGAATGCACTTTTTCGTTAAGTGCGAGTGATTTCGCGTTCAAACATTGTTTTCTTGGTATTTAGATACGAGATAGCCTCATATTTAAAGAACAATAACCTTGCAGTTCTTCCATAATCCTTTAACAGTAAAACTCTATTTAGAACAACTAGGTCCTCTTTTGAATTTTTTCGGGAGATTTCGAACCCCTTTCTTAAGGCAGTCATTCATGTAGTGGATGTAACAAAGAGCAGTGTGCATTTGATTTGCGTAGACTTCATTATGCCTCTTGCAAACTCATGAGGACATGGTGACACCAAAACATATATATTTAAACCGATGGCACTCATATTCCGACTCATTTGAAGGTGCCATAAAACTAACATGGAACCCAATTAACCATAAAGAAACAATAATATATACGGAGAGAGCTAAACATTTGCTTTGGAGTGAGGAATTAGCCATGCGATTGCTTGAAGCGAAGCCGAGCGTTTGCACTCAGACCTGCTACAGCTTAATAAGTTACTGCTGTGATTGCAAAACGGAGATTAGCTAAATGGGTTGTTATTGATTATTTCTGGTGGCACACTAGGAGGTCTCTGGAAAAATCTGCGAATCGCCGTCAGCAAAGTACCATAAACTGTCAATGTCCAGCTCTTACTACGCTGGATCTCACTCTGTCCCTCGAAGACTTTCAGAAACGCTTTCTATCAACCAACGCGAAATCCAGAACACTGATTGGCGACTCGACACTCCTTTATTCTTACGCCAACATGTATACAACAATAAGGTTATTACACAAGGCCTAAGAATAAATGTTATAACAATAAATCACGATATTACTTCTGATAGTTTTCTCTCTTCCACCGTACAGCGAACGATGAGACGATGACCGCTGGCTTGATGACTCCGCGGAAGATATAGAGGGGTTGGGTTTGAGCAAACAACTGTGAATTTATCGTTCAATCTTCATCTACCCTGACATCATTCGTGGAGCACATACAATGAGAAACTGTATGCATGCAGCATCCTTAACAGAGACACTATTATTAATAATTTATGGAACGTTAGCGGCTTTCTTTGGAATAGTTTTCAAAGAGAACTAATATGGACGTTCATTGTAGCGGTATAAAGTTCATATTTCTACGTTTTATCAGCGAAATCTGATCTGCTTGTACCAAATACTTGTAGGATAATAATGAGCGAGGAGAAGTCCATGAAATTATTATAAGCTTTACGGAGTTTTCTTAGCCTGTTCCTGGTAGCCTTCGGTGTATGTAGATGGGTTACACATTTACTTTTGGATATATGCTAAGGGATAGATCCGTTGAAACAAACTGGTGTGTTGGGGGTGGAAACTGACAAGAACGGTATCAGTGTCTACTGAGGAGAAAAAAGTATCGCTGTCTTGACGATAAATAAATGAGAGAGTTGCTTCCCACTAAGACTTTGGAAAGTCCCTGATTCTTATTGCAAGGTGACGGCTTTTAATCGAATCACTTGCTGGTAGGTGAGAGGTTGAAATCACTGTGCTGTAATCGCTACCAGGGAATAAAAGCCCAACTCGAATGCTGACGCGAAGACCGTGATAATAAGACCCAGGATGCTGGAATTACATGTACGGTGATAACGATTTTGCGCCCATCCACAGAATTCGAGCGTGTCCATAATACGATCAGGGTATGTAGGAACATTCAGGCCATTCCAGTGGACACCATGTATGTTGAAGTAAAGGTAAACTTTTATAGTTTAAATTTAGAGAAGAGAAGTGTTTAAACATTTCTAATAAATGGTTCGTTGCGTTGGTATCAGAATTGGTCGGGAGGCATAAAAATCCCAATAAAAGCCCTATATTAAAGTAAGTGTTCAGTGTAACCCATACTGCATCTGTCAGTGGGTAACTCAGATCACCAACTTCTACAGCGTGAAGTTTGTTACTAGCAAAAATAAGACTACCACCACCACGCTCTGTTCCTCTTCCATGTCTAAAGTGTGTGTATCCTAGAGATTTTAACAGTCTGTGATTGAATTCAGACGGTGAACAGGTCTTAGTAACTAACAATACTGAAGGCACACGAAGTGAAAGAAAGGGCCGCAGGTACGGAATTTTATGACAGACAGAGTTTATAAAGAAGAGAGAAAACGATCTCTAATCAGTGGTAAGAGCTGAGGTAAAACGGAGGAGATGATAATGTGATTCTGCTGAGGTTGAATAAAAATGAGATGACAGGCTGACTGGCACACAGAGTGTTCGGTGAGTAAAGGCGTCATCATTTTCGTCAACGTTCTGAGAAGAAAGAGGGTGTCAGTGGTCGATCGCTCGGCTCATGATCACACGGAGATCGCATACGGAAACTAGGGTATCCTGGGTGTCTATAGAGGGAAGATTTGAGGGTAAGGAAACACATTGCTTTATATTAGGTTAATTGGTGGCATTAAAATCAGGTGCGGAAAAGCGAAAAATGGTGGGTATATTGGAGCGTTTTAAAGATGGTTTCGGTAGTCGGGGAGCGTGTTTGTGGGGTAGTAGCATTAACTGGGTGGATCTCCAAGTAGACTATGCTGAAAGTTTAGGCAACTGAGTCCATGTACTGTGTGCCAGGAATATGGGCATAGTTAAATTTGGTATTGCGGAACCTCATAGTAGAATTTGGGTAGCTGTAATTGGTTGTATTAAAATGGTAAGGAAAAGTGAGTGGGAAAGGTTGACTAGTGTTTGTTAAATTGGATACCGTAGACGTCCTTTTGGGAGATCTAAGCGCATGAGTAACAGGGGATGTTGAAACAGGCTTGACAAAGTGTATGCCAGGCGTAGG